TCAGCTTTAAAATATTCTGTAATTTATTTGAGGCAATTAATTTATAGTCTGTATCAAATCAAGGTCACACGTGTTTGGCCAGTTTATTTGGTGTTCTGTGATTCACTGTAGATAATTTTATAGTTCTAGGTGAGATGATAATCTGCTTTGTAGTGATTTCCTCCTCATAGGGCTGATCAGCTTAGTCAGAAACAAACTAAGGAGTTGCACTTTTTATAGTTTCTCATGCATAATATGTAGGACTAATTGTCATCTTAATGTGATAATAACAATCAAACCACCTCATGTTGCCTCCATTTATATGCAGTTATTTTTTGCACATTTATTTAGTGTTTTCTGCCATGTTGTCTCCGATTTGCAGTGCCTGTTTTTTTTTTCTGTTTCAAGCTAAGTGTAATTTGAGGCCATTTCATGGTTGTTGTTTGTTTTTATGGTTTAACAATCTCCATCCATTCCATCTCCTGACTCAACTTCCTCACATTCGGTGACATTCCCTTTAAAGCTCCATCTTTTAGGAAAAAACCAGATGGTTGCAGCGTGCCTTCATGATTACTGGTTTCCTTTTAAATGTTCCTGGGAGTTTTGGAAATGCATCATACATGATCATTTGCTTTTTCATTCCATGTTGGGAACAACATACCTTTATGTTATTTAAATATTGAAAGTATAGGAAACAGAATGACATCTGTGGTTTTCTTTTTTTTTAAACCATCCAAACTTTATTTCTAAATGTTTTAAGCTGTGAAAATTTTCTCTTCTGGATGCAAAGTCATGTTTTGGATGCCTCAAGTTTTCCTGTAACAGCTCTGACCTTTACGATAAATATGGTCCATGGTTTGAATGTTGGATGAGACACAGAACTTTTGGTCTCTGATGTAGTTTTTTAGTTTTTTTTTAATCAAATACAGCTGAGTTCGGCCTTGTAAAACATAAAACCTGCTGGGAGGTCCTGGTTTTTAAAGCCTTGCAAAAGTATTAGCACCTCTAAAGCTTTTTAACATTTAAGTTAATTACGATCGCAAACTTTGGTGGATTTATTGTGATTTTATGTGGCGGCACAAAATAATGTGCAGAATTTACAGACAGAAAGAAAATTAACCGTAGTTTCAACATGTTTTACAATAAAAAGCTAAAAATTGGGTTAAAAAAAACAGCCAATTAGCTTTGAACATAAACTGCTCATTCCTCTTTTCCAAAGAAGTTAACAAGACGTTTATCTTCCGATCCTGGAAGCTTTTTGCAGTTCAAAAGGCTCTTCGATGGGAAGTGAAACATCTTAGAAAACAAAGTTTTTTTTTTACTTTTTTGGAATGGCTGAGAATCTTTACCAGCACATTCTTCTTTGCAAAATAGCTGAAGCTCAGTCAGATTGGTCAGAGGATATTTGTGAACTTTACACTGTAAGCAATTGCTGTAAATTTACAGCAAATTTTCAACACTAAAATACTGTTTTCATGTTTAACAGTTCAGTACTGTAAGCAATGCATTGTGGGCTTCTTAACTTGGAGCAACAGGACAGAGGCTGTAAACGGTATGCGGCTGTTTTAAATAACGGGATACTACAGTATTTTCCGGAAATTTTCCAGAAGACGACTGCAGAGCACACAACATGCTACCATCTGTCTTCATCACAATGATTCCGGTGTTGCATCTAAAAAATGTAACGGTACGTAAATCAAAATCTTTTTTTCTTTGCCCCTGGGTTTGCTATTTTATTTATATTGCCAACAATGTTTGATATAGGCTAACGCTATATGTAAGCTATCAGTGATGCTTAAATTTGAATAGGGTAGTCAATATTCTACTATATTCTACTCTACTACTCTACTATTTTGTTGTTGTTGTTGTTGTTAAATCTTGGTTAACTATAATATACAGTAGCCGGACGACAGCTTACACACACGCATGCACCACTTTACTCCACTCTGATCTTAGACTAGTTTGATGATTTTAGGCGCTTCATTGGTATAAATCCAGAGAGAGGGACAAAGGCCAAAAGGGGGAAGGTTGTCTCCAAGAAGAAAGGTGTGATTCCCAGAAGAAGTCTTCCACAGTGAACACACACGTCTCCATGCTCCTGAAGAAACGCCTTGACTTTGAATGGGACTTCACATAGATCAGTGAGTTCTCCTTAATCCTGCTGTCTGTCCATGTGTTGTTTCGACAATCTGGCATTGCCACATTAAGCCACAAGAATTTATTCGTTTTATAAGCATTAGCTTGGAGAGTATATTGTACATTCCTGATTGTATAATATTTGTTTGTTATTGTTTGACAGCGGATCCTCTGGAATAATTCTGCAGAGGAACAGCGGCTAACAAACTGAACATCTCTCCTGGATCCACAAGATTTGAATCAGGGTGGTTCACACCCACCCAGATTCCCGGGAATACTACTACTACTACTACCCTCACAGGACTACTTTAAGAAGTAAAGTACAGTTTCTTCCCTAAATGTTCTCTTTTATTCATATGACTGTAATGATGTATAAATCCACATGTTCTAACTGTACTGTAATAGTTTTGAAATGGCCTTGATGCAAAATGTTCTTACGTTTGTTTTCCAAATGTTGTCAATTCTGCATACAGTATTCTGCATTTTCACAGACATCAGAAAAAACATTGCAGATTACATAATGTACATGTTTTAAGTGGAGTTTAGAGGAAAATTTTAATCTACCTCACAGGACTATTTTAAGAGGGAAAAACACATGCTGGTTTGCTGAATGTTTTGACTCATAATCAAAAAGGTCTTAATGTTCCTACTTTGAAGTAGTCTTAATAATGTTTAAACTCTTATTTCCTCTGTATTTGTTGTGTTGGTCTTTTTCTTAGACTTATTGTTATATTGAACAAGTGTTCAATAAAACAATCATTGACATTGGCTCAAAGTCAGCTAGTCAGCTGTCTCTGTTTGCTACTCGAAATATCTTCTCAGCATCACCCAACACGTTATTTTTTTTCTACATTTTTTTTGAAAGTAGCAATATTCAGTATTATATTGCCTTTTGAAATAAATTATTTTAATTCTTTTTGATCTTATTGCTTATTTTGCACAACTGTGCAACTGTCTGTAGAATAATGAAGTTCTTATATTGATTGCATGTATTCAAGGTTGATATTTTAGGAAACTGCTAAACTGGATTATTGTATTGTGTATCTACTGTGCCTCTCTACAGTAAACTTAAACAGAATATTATTGTAATTTCCAAATAATAAAAATATGATGCATTTATTTTTTACTGTATTAGACAGTGAAATCATTGAACAGTGAGAAAACAGACTACTACTGTAAAGTCAATTTACGGTATGAAAACCCTAAAATTACAGTATATCGCTGGTGTCCTAGCTGCCAGCTTCTTACCGTAACTCATAGAAATACAGAAATATACCATATTTCTGGTTTACAGTCTACTACTGTAATATCAATTTATGGATGAATACCGTAAAAAGAACGGTATATTGCTGGCGTCTCTGCTGCCAGCTCTTTACTGTTATTTTACAGGACAATTATTTACAGTGTAATCATAAAGTTCCTCAGTTTTTATTTATTTCAGGATTTAGGTCTGGATTTTGACTACCATTTTACTCCATTGGTGTACTGTACCTTAATATGAACCATTTGATCAAATCTCTGGTTATATGTATAGAATCTTTATCCTACTGAAAGGTATACTTCTCAAGGTCTTTGGAGTTTCCAACTGGTTTTCTCTCAGTCTTATCAAATCTGACCTGTCATCTTGCCTCTGGTCATGAAGAGCACTCACTGCATGATGTTGCCACCATCAGTTTTAGTGCGGCGACGTTCTATTCAGAGCGATTTGCAACAATCTCACAAGAGGGCCTTCCTCATCATTAGCAATTAGCAATCGGGCAAACCAAACACTGTTTGTACCAATTACCAAATGCATAAGCACAAATTTGACTTCCAACAGATTCTGTTATCTGAGTTTTTGTTTTGTAGAAGTTACCGCTCCTCTGATTATTTCCCTCCTGGCCCAGTCCAACAGTTTCATGGGATGGCTATGCCTAGAAGATTTGCAGATGTTCCCCATCGTCTCTATTTCCAGATGATGTGGTGGGCAGCGTTTCATGAGATGTTCAAAGCTGAAATGTTTTATAACATAATTGTTATTTCAGCTACTTTCTGGACTCATCTATGTTCTGTGGTCTGTACTGGATTTTATGTAGCAGAGTCAACATTTAGAAAGGCTGATAATTAGATGCCATCTGTAAAAAAGGTTGGAACCCACAAGCGTCACTTTGCTTCCTCTTCACTTTTTGTGTAAAATGAATCTAGAATATGCTGGAGTTTGTGACTAAACTGAGAAAAGTTAAGGGACTAGAAATCTAATTTCTCTTTAAGACTAATGAAGGTGTTTTAAATGGCACTATTCTGCACATTGCACATGGTTGCTGTTAGGGGGAACTCTAAATGATGAGAAAAGCTGGACTCTGTAATCAATTTCCAGTGCTACATTTTTTTTTTTTTTTTTGAAGAACAAGAAACAGAAGTAGGTGATAATCTTTCCCAGACAGACTGCATGTATTTATTTGTTTATCTCTAACAGTAAATTACTATATCCACCAACAGGAAGACAGAAAAAGCTTAATAAAAAAAAAAAGTCATGCAGCAGTTTATCATTAAGATTTCCTTCAGGCTGCTGCAGTGCGGTCCAACTCATGAAGACCAGTAAGTATCCCTGATGGGTTGCATGTGTGTCCTTCTCTCCGTCCCACTTTCTCCATCCCTTCTGAGAAAACTATGAGTGCCTGGAAAAGAGTTGCTTTCTAAGTGAAAGGTGTGTTCATGGGGAAAGTTCATAACTTGGAAGACAACAGTGGGTTGTAATGGAAAGTTATCTTCAAAACACATTTATGTTATTATTAAAAGAGTTTGAATTTGTAGAATAAATCCATCGTCGTATGCATAATGCTCCCTTTTCATAAAAATAGGAAACAATTTAAAAAGCAATACCTACAAACCCATTGGCAGACTGGTTTAGAGATGATTAAGGCCTGATTTTATTGTTTACTTTTTTGCAGAACATTTCCAGTAAAACTGTACAGGAAAGACAGCATCACAGCAGCTGGAGTGCATAGGCCCTCTAGCGATGAAAATATGTTAAAACAACTAAACTTTGTCAGATGGAAATAATCAAATTGTTCAGAAAAGGAAGTTATTTAAAAATATAACAAAAACAACAGTGTCTGTAACACACAATAACACCAAGAAGAGATAAATTCTGTTTAAAAATGTTATTTACAAGAAGAAAAAAAACTTATTCACAGTATGAAACAGTTTAAAAGGTGCAACAGTCATCTTGGAGGTATAAACCCACATCACACTAAGAGAAAAGGCATGAACTAATTGTTGTGTAGGAAGATAAAAAAAAAAAGTTTGACTTCCTTTTATTTTAGATGACTTCTAAAGCATATATGCAACAAAAAAGACAGTAGTTTAAAAACAGCACAAAGCTTTAAACACAATATAGATCAGTTATTACAAAAAAAACAACAAAAAACAGTTTGGTAACAATCATATGTTCTTTTTTCAGATGACCCTCACAAATGATTAGGACCACCTTACTGTTTCCAGAATCTCCAAGGCAATAAATTTGCTGAATTACAGCTAAATTGGGGAATATCATGTCAGTGAGAAGGAAAACTCTTGTTTGTGACAGTGATATTTCACCACGGTTGTGACATCTGCCAAAAGTTTTATCCTAATCTGCTAAATGAACCTATAATAAAGGGAGGTCTCTGCACCTCCACCAGAGGTCTGAGTCTTACTCCTGAGGAGGAATGGTCGATAATTTTATCGGTTTATCAGCAGCATTTACGTAAATCATGTAGATGTTGGTTTCTATTGCACATAGCACACCACAAAGGATATTGTTATTAAATAACTGTATGCAGTTACTGCAGCTACAGGGAACTACGGTCATATATATAATGTCTATCGGCTTTCTGCTTATCAGTGTGATTTGATCGCAGCAAGCTTCTCAATCCTGAAGGTTTATTTTTTCGTGTTCTGCTCCACGTATAGTATAATTATAATTTTTTTTTAAACTCACTAAGATCTGATAATTGAACTTTTTCTTCACCCTTGTTCACCTGTTGAATATAATGCCCCATTAGGGGCACAAGAAATACATTTTGAATTTGAACTACATCGTGAAAAAGTTGGTCACTTAGCAACCTATATATGTGCAATTTGGAGGTGTGCGCCTCTCCCCAACTGCTAGCCTTATGTTGTATTGCACACACTGATCTATATGTGCAAGAAGGACGATTTGCGTGGTGAAGGTGGTTTGCAGTTTGTTTTTCAGAATGTGAATCATTAATTTTATTAGTTGATTGTGATGAGACCTAATTTAAAATCTTTAATGGCTATGAAGGCGTGTCTTGGCCATACCTCATGGATAAGCCACCATTTCTGTGACCTGGTGTGATTTCTGTCATAAAAAAAAACAACACATTTAGTCTTTTTTCACAGAAACAGCAGTTTGATAAAACCCCACTTTTATGATCAGGTTTCTAACATTATTCTTGAGGTTGATTTATTTATTACAATGTCAGATAAAACAAAACCAACAGTTGTTTATGTTTTCTTTTTTGTGAACCTCCCAGTAAGTGAGGAAATGTCAGCGCTTGCTGTGCTTTGTAAACTCTGGCAACTCTGGCACCATCCAAACCTGCAGGCTGCCTGGCAGCTCCAGGGCCAGAGCAGGGTAGCAGGGCTGGCTGAAGAGCTGGGTGAAGGAACCCAACAACTGGCCACTACTGGCATTGTAAAAAGACAGACAGCCCAGTTGGTGATCCAACAAGGTTCCAACTCTCTCAGGTGTCTCAGTCACAAAAATGGAGGTCTGAACGCCATTGTGCAGTAGCAGATACCTACAGCTGGACAAAGACAGGAAGATGGAGGTTTTAGACTCAAATTATATAAAGAAAAAACTGAAAATTAATTATGATAGTCCTTTGCACACCCTGAGGGTCCATGAGTACACTGCAAGCACCATGAGGAGCTGTCTTCCCCAAGTGATCCGTTGAGATTATCTGCACTGCACATTACTCCAAGCCTGTAAGCCGGACTTTCTACAACAATTGCCTCCCAGTAGTGGAGTCCTCGTGAAGGCAGCAACTCACCCAGGATGGATGGACATCTGTAAAACAAACGAGCTCTGGCTTAAATCTTCCAACAGGCCACAGAAAGACGCTATCTCTGGGTTAAACATACTCCTTTTTTGCAGATGGGCTGGTATTTTGAGCATCCTGGGAATACTGCAGTGTGGTGTTATCATCTGACAGCGTCAGAGTGGGGTGAGCTGAGGATTTCAGGAGTTGGAATCTCGTCCCTAAAGAAGTACCAGACGTCAGAGCAATACATAAACATAAAATATCCAGAAATAACTACATAGATTTTGAAATGGGGCTGGATTTGTTTGCACCTTTTGTAGAAACGAGTGTAGCCTCACTCTGTTCATTGGCACCAGCCTCATTCACTGCTTTGATGTAAAACAGGTAGTTCTCATTCGGCTGCAAGACCACTTTCTGTTCGCATCCTTTAATTCCTGAGATTGATCTGGAAAAAAATGGTAAACTCACAATAAAACAATCACAACTTTTTACAAAATGAAAAAGATTCAAAGAGATAATACCTAGGCTATGTTCTATACATACAAAGATCTGTTTCCATTATAAAAAAAAAAATCAGTATAAAATAGTTCAAGAATGGGCGTGCAGGTGGCGCAGTGGTTAGCAAGTACGACCCATGTACATAGGCCCAGGTTCAAATTCGGCCTGTGGTCCTTTCCCACGTGTCTCTCCCTCTCTCTCATACCCCATTTCCTGTCACCCTACTGTCGACAAAACGAGCCACTAATGCCGTAAAAAAAAATAGTTCAAGAACTAAATGATGTTCTTATGTACATAATGGTTGCACTGATGAGATATTGCAGTCTTGCAGAGGTAGTTGTGGTAAAAAGTAGTGCAGATATAGCATCAGGTTGAAAAGTGGATTGTCAGTGCCCTTCTACCCTGATGTCCCAATAAAATCCAGAGGTCACCTAAGTAGTAAATGGAGCCGGACCAAAAGACTGGCCAACAGCCTATACCACCAGGCCATAAGACTCTTGAATTCACAGGACTTGAGGAACGGACTACCTAAATTATGAATTCTGAATGTTTTGCCTTATTCATTAGGGCCCCCTTATTATAGTCTGGTTGGGAGCTGTGTATTTATTCTGTGTGTGTGTGTGTGTGTGTGTGTGTGTGTGTGTGTGTGTGTGTGTGTGTGTGTGTGTGTGTGTGTGTGTGTGTGTTGGGGGGGCAAGCATTATGGCACTTAATAATCTTTGCTGCACTTTAAGTGGGATGGAGGGGGGGGGCTGGGGGGGTCAAGCACTGGTGTCACTTTTACCTCTTGTGCACTTTACTTGGAACTTGCTGCTACAAAGTATTGTACCCCAAACATAATTTCGTTGCCTTTTTTTTGACAATGACAATAAATTTTTGAAACTTGAGTCCTCCTATGGGGTAATTCTATCTTAGTCTAAATCCAGCTGTTTCATGAGGGCTTCAGATGTTTGCTTGGAGAACATAGAGAACAAATGTCATCATGAAGGAAGGGAAACCCGTCAAGAAGAAATATGAGATTTTAAAGCAGGAGAAGTTTATAAAACAATGTCCTACATTGTAAACGTCTCACAGGAGCTATTCAGAGAAAAGGTAACGAAAAACTGCAAACCTAAAAAAAAAGTCATGGATCCTCACCTAAAGCGACAACCTCTGGGAAGAAGAGCAAAATACAGAGAAGCAGCCTCGGGCCTCATCATTACTCTGCATGAGCTGCAGAGATCTCCACATCTGTACTTTTACTAAATTAATTATTCAAAGATTAAATGCATTATGCAAGAGAAACAAGTAAAATTTGGAATGTGGGTCTTCTGTTTTAGAAGATGTAAATGTAAGCCATTGAATTAATTTAAAATGTAATATGTGAGGGACAATCTAACTGAAAATCTGCATAAAAATAGAAACTGTGTGACAGCATCATGCTGAGGGGAACAAGAACAATTTACTGGTTTAAAGAAAACCATCAAAATCACAAAAACTCCAGCCATACATGGAACAAAGCAGATGTTTAAAAGAAAGTGCTCTGCTGACTGGGATGAAGACTGAAGGTTCAGGGCGACAGGCTGGTGCTGCATATCACCCTGAACACACCATCCCCACTCATGGTGTGGGGCTGCTGCTCTTCAGTAGGTCACAATCAGAGGTAAGGGAAACGTAGTGAAGCAGAATTTAATCATGATTCTGTGGCAGCAGCTAAAACTTAATGTCCACAGATGCACTGCGCCCTATTGGATACATAGATGTGCACAATTCTAGCTTCTGTGCAAAGATTTCTATTAAAAACAAACAGATTTGATACATTAATCTAATTGTCAATCTTTGTCTACTTTACATTGCTATTTCTGTACAAATTATATACCTTCATAGAAGTCTGAGGTACCACTTTTCCAATATTAAGAAAATGTTTAAGGAACTAGCATCTGGATGAACAGTTAAACATTTGCTCCATTCCCACCAGAATCACCAGAGAGGCCCCCACCTGAGTCCCTCTCCCTCCAGGTCATACTGTCGGCAGTACTCCAAAGTGTAGCTCAGGCCCGGAGCCGCTTTCGTTGAGCTCCACCTCAGCGTAGCAGAGTCCCACATGACACTGCAGCGCTCTGCGTCGATCGTCGGCCCAGATGGAGCTGCCAGAAACACAGCAGGTGGGTTTAAAATGTCCTTTAACCAGATTATAAAATTGAATTACAGTCTGGAGTAGAAATGAAAAGAAAGAAAAAGTCTACTGCATTTAAGATAAAATAAAATCAAAATTAAACTAAAGCATCAGAAGGTGTACTGACCTGTTCTGAAGAGCAGTCGTTCGCTGGGCAAAGAGCAGCCTGTGTAGTTGACGGCCATCACCCACACTTTGTACATCCTGTCAGGCTCTAGGTCCTCCAGGACACAGTAGCTCTCCTTTACTGTCACACGGTACTCCTCTGACACAGCTGGACACAGCAGCAGATACACATGTGAGGCAGATCAGCCGGAAAACTTAAGTTAAATCCACCCCTGGAAGTTTATCCGGCTGGACTCACCTCCCTGTGGATCCTCCATGCAGTAGACCTGAAAGCAGTCAATGATGTCTCCTGGATTGACTTTCCAGTAAACTGTCACACTGGTGCTAGAGGCTGAGCCGGGCTCCTGGGGCTGCAGGGTGGGCCTTTGGGGCACTGAGGACATGAAACCATTTGTAACACATGCAACATGGACCTGAACAGGCAGAAGATAAATCGGCACAGACAGCAGCTACCTGGAATTCCTTTGCGCTGTGCGAGGTTTGAGCTTGCAGAATTGGCCTTGGTGTAGTCCTCAAACACCAGCAGTCCCTTGGGTCCCAGCTCCAGCGACAAGGCTGAGTCCAGAGCAGTTTGGAGTCTGTCCGTACAAACGCATCATTGGCAGTTTTGTGGAAACCTACATTTCTTTGCATTTTGCTTCTAACGTTATAAACTGATTTCTACCAGATATTCTCTCCGTTCTCTGTTCTAAGAGACCTGACAGGAGATCAGAGGGAAGCAGCAAATAGCTCCGTGGGAATCACCTTTTAGTGCTAAAATGCTATTTGACAGAAGTTTGTCATTGATTTTATAAAGCAGGAAAGAATCAATGTTCTGTTGCAAGATTACAGTGAAAAAACAGCCAAAAGATTAAATCAAAAACACTGTCCCTAAGATTTTGAAACTCTGTGTCTGAATGGTGGATATGCCTTAGTAACAACATTTAATAAACAAAGCATCATCATTATTAGCCATCACTGGCATATCAGCTGTTTAAATGGGCTTCGACTGGTGGTCTGAAGCTCTTGCTTGTGTCCAATCATGTAAAAGAAAAACAATATTTATCTACAGCTGAAAAACTTCCATTAAATATATCGTTTTCACCAACTTAAAAATACTATATGAAGCTCTGCAACAGAAAGGATTTTTCATTATAATTTTATATCTAAACAGCAAACTCTGTCTCTGTGTGACGTAGACTGCCTCACACTGCATACCTTGCATGAATGTCTTCTGGTGGCTGGTGGGAGAAAGCATCACATATCTTTGTTAAAAATTGGACTAATTTACCAACACAGGTTAACCAAACCAACTGAACTTACTCTGGCATCCGTCTCAGCCTCTCTGGCTGAGGTCTCCAGAATGCTTTTGGCTGAGTCTATGTTCTCCTGATAGGAAACGATCTTGTCGTAGAGCTGCTCCAGCTTGGCTTTCTTCTCCTCCTCCATACTGACGGACATGGTGTTATACTGCTCCATCACCAGAGCCATCATCTCATCGTTCTGCGCCTGCATGGCTGCTTCGCTCTTCGTGAATTGATCCTGAGCAGCATTAGAGACGAGGGAGAGGAATTGGATTCCACCGGACCGTAACAGTGCTACTGAATTACAATGTTAATAGTGATTAAAAACACACTGTACCTCTACTGAATTGTAGGCCAGCTCCAGCTCAGACACCAAGTCCTCAATGTTCTCTGATCTCGCTTGGAGCTCTGAGATCCAACCTCCCAGAGTCTCCTGTTGGACAGCATCAGACATATTAATTCTGTCCTATTTAAGGTCACATTTTACACGGTTCCTTAAACATATCTATCCCTGTCAATGTTTTATCACAACGCATCTGTTTGTATATTTGTGACTAAAGCAAAACTACCAAGAAAAGGCAAAACAGACTGGACAGCAAGTAGAGCAGTATCAGATAAATAGTCAGAAGGTGACTCTGGAGGAGCTGCAAAGATTCACAGCTCAAAGTGGTCAGAAGAATAATGGAGCTACATGTAGAGTAACCATGTAACAAAGTTATTTTTCTATTAAAGGTAGAGGTTTACCTTCACTGCAAAAATTGAAATCTAAGTAAGTTTATTGTTCTTGAAATAAGAGCATTTTTTATTAAATTGAGAAATTAAGTGATACACTTTGCCAATGGAATGAAGCAATTTACATTTAGAATAAGAAAGAAAAAATAACTGCAGTCTCTTAATTCAAGTGTATAATATCTAATTATCGTATTTTATACTTATTTTAAGAGTAAAAATGCTCATTCTATTGGCAGATCATATTATTTAACTACTCAAATTAAGGGTAAACACACCTAATTTAAGAAATGTTTACTAATTTTTAGATCTTTTCTGCAGTGTTCCAGCAGGAAAACAACCCAAACCAAGATAAAATAAAAATGGCCCTGTTAAAATTTGATTTTAAGAGATGCTGCAGAAGAGTCAGAAAACATTTGGTCTGCATATGTGCAAAGTTGGTAGAGATGTACCCTAAAGACTTACAAAATGTGTTTCTGGAAGAGGGGTTGGAGGATTAATACCAATGTGAACATTTACGGCCTATTTTGTGTTGGTTTGTCACATGATGTACTGATAGAAAAACTATTAAAACTTCAGCATCGTACAAAACCTGCGGATCATGTCCCTGGTGTTTAAGCTTTCAGCCTTCTCTGTAGCTTGAAGTTGAATCATCAGGGTAGAGGGGAGGCAGCGGGAATCCCCGACACCTCTCGAAAACAGCCATCTCACATTTAATGAGGTCAAGCTCCGGACACTGATCACTCCCTGCCAGCTTCACCAGCAGGAGGCCACAGAAGTCTCCTCACAGGCTGAGGTAAAGCTGTGTTCATGCCTCCACACTCCATAGGAGGTGTGGGTGGGAGGGGGGCATTCTGGCCTCAGAGAAACTGGCCCGCATTCAGATTTACACAGTTGTTTTGGTTAACTTGTCAGAGTCAGTTTTCTGAGATGGAGGACCTGAGTGGGTCTCACTTCTTTATGCTGCGTTTCAGGTTTGATGTCGTCTATCTGTCAGAGCTTCATAGAAATACAGCATTTTATAAACACATGGTTCAAAAAACATCTGGGAATAATATTCGACAGCTTCCGCTTCTTTCATTTACTCTCAATTATCCAATGAAATATTCCAGGGAAACAACTGGACGCGGCTGCCTAAAGAGTTTCCAGTTTGCGGATCTGTTTAAAAAAGACGAAGCTGTGGCTGAAGGCAACGCGATAGAAAACCAATAAAAAGAAAAAAATATTTTTTATTATTGTTAGAAGGCATTACCTTACTGTAGTTTAGGGGTAGAAAACATTGTTAACAGATCAAATGTCAGTTTCTACCTCCTAACGTCACACTGAGCTTTTTATCCATCAGTGTGAAGCATTGCATCATCTCAAGTCAATATTGGCTGCAGACTGAAAGCTGAGTCCGCTGGTTTGGATTTGCTTTGAAAGACTCGTTTATGGGTATTTGGGTCAAACTATTTCTATCCTTAATGCAGATGACTGTAGTTCAAAGTTAAATAACCTTTATAATGACAAGCAGAGGTCCAGCCCCTTTCACTAACCTTGATATCCTCATAGGCCTTTTCCACGGAGCAGACCTGGTGGTTGTGATGCTCAGCAGACCTGCAATCCTGCTCTGACAGCAAACACCCACAGGTCATACAGAACCAGTCCATGCCCAGGAGCTCAGCAGCCAAGCGGGCCTGACTCTGCTCCTCTGCATCAATAATTTCATAATCCTCCTCCAGCTCATCCTTCTCTGTTTCTGTGTCTGTCTCCTTAGGCCTCTGATGGGAAGAATCATCTTCTTCTCTCTTGATCTCAGATTCAACCATATCTTTTGCTTCTTCACTGCCAATCACTTCATATCCAAGGTCTTCCACCGTTTCCTCACTTGCCTCTATAACCGTCTCACTCTGTGCCAGCATTTCTTTCACTTCTTCCCTGTGTAGATCTGAACGCTGCACCGCATCCTCATCAAGGTTTATTTCTGGTTCTTCCTCCATCTCCTTGATATCCATTTTTTGTTCAGATTCTTCTGGTGGTACATCATCTTCCTGAAGCTCAGATAAGTCTTCCTTAGGGGTGTAGCTTCTCAGCAGAGACAAGACAGGTTTATCCTCATGAGTCTCCTGGTCCTTGGTGTTGTCTTTCTCTCCAGGTGCAGCTATTAAAGCCTCAGAGTCTAACTCATTACTGGCAGGTTCCTCTTCTTTTTCTGCAATCACTGGTTCTTCTTCTACCCAAGGCTCAGGTACCTGAACCTCAGATGAGATGCCAGGTTGAGGAGAAGAATCTACATCCTTGATAATGTCCTCAGACCACTGATCAATCTGTATGTCCATCTCTACAGCCTGTCCTTTAGGAACTAGGACGACTAATTCATCACCAACGTTCACTACATCCTGCTCACAAGTCCCTGCATCCTCTTCAGTAGTTCTAGATCTTGGTTCTTCTGCTTGTTTTAGGTTGTCTGATTCCTGTGTCTGTTGTTTTCTGTTGGTTGATTCCAAATTAAAGTTCTGATGCTCGGTAGACTCAGTTATGTCTCTTAAAGTCTCAGTTTTAAGCTCTGCCTCCCGATCAGCAGCTGCAGCCTTACTTTCCCCAGAAGGTTCCTTCTCATAAACATTCACTGCATCTTTCTCACAGCTCCCAGTGTCCTCTACAGCTGTTCCAGATCTTGGTTCTGCTGCTTGTTTTAGGTTGTCTGATTTGCAGTCAGTTGTCTCTTCTTCCTGTGTCTGTTGTTTTCTTTTGATAGATTCCAAATCAATTTCTTTGTTTTTTGTTGGTTGAGTTATTTCCCCTAAATTGTCAGTTTTAACTCCTGATTTCTGATCTGCTTCTGCCTTACACTCTTCAGAATATTCATCACTCAGGTGCTTTTGATGTTCTTTTCTTTCGGGATATAGCTGAATTGCTTCCTTTACATCTGCATTCATTTGGGTCTGCATCTCTTTTTCATTCACAGCTCCCTCCATCACCTTCTCCACTGCTTGCACTGCAGAGTCCAAGCGAGGAGCCGCTTTGAGAGAGGCCACATCTTCAGAGGATGCTTCTTTGTCTTCATGCACAGATACTGTAGAAGATGCCTTTGATGCTGTGAGGTTTTCAGTTTGGACGTGTGTCGCATTTCCAGGTTCTTTTGCTTCAGCTTCTGCTCCAGGTGGATGTTTCTCATCAGCAGCCTTGATAACAGGTGCTTCTTCCTCAGAGAAACTCCTTTCAGTGCTTTCTGTAACCGGAGTGGGTTCAGTGGAGGCTGGAGGCTCCTCTCTCCTTTCAGGTTGAGCTGATGTTGTTTTGTCTGGCATCACTTCAAGATGCTTAGACATATTTTCTGCCACTTTTTCAGATGGCAGCTCTGCTTCAATGAAACTTTCCTCAGTGACCATTTCATCTCTTCCCTCTGAGGTTTCATCCAATGTTTCTATCTGGGGAGTTTTGTCTGTTTTTTCTGCTCTTGGCTCCACTGCTTGTTGCTCTAGTTTAATTTCAGTGTGATCTACTGATTTAGACTCCCGATGCCTTTCCTTTGGGACTTCTCCTGGACCTTGGTCATGAGTCATCTCTGATGAAAGTTTTTCTTCTGTTTCTCTTAAAACTTTTTGTTTCTCTTCAAGCGTTTCCTGCATCTTGATTTCCTCGTTTTTTATCTTTTCTTCCTCTTCTTCATCTTGTGCTGCTCTGATTAAGCAGCCATTCATTTCAAACTTGCTCTGTGGCCACATCATCCTCCCCCCAGCCTCATTCTCCACTGATTCTGTCTGAACGTCTACTGCTGGCGTTTCATCTTTTAGCCTGAACTTCTCCAGGTACCCATCCTCTTCCTCTGAATCCGACAACCGCCTCTTGTAGGATTTCTCAGAAGCCACACTTTCTGCCTCTGAGTGCTCCTCGTCACTCCTCCTCTTCTCCCCCACTGCATCCTCATACAGATCTGTGTACATGAAGGACATGGCCGTTGGCTCCTCCAAGAGGATGGGGTCAATAATCTTGGGAGGTCCCGGGGAGAGGAAAATAGGAGTAAGTGTAGTTTCCTCACTTTCAAACAACACCAGACCACCATCCTTCATTGATCGCTGGCTCTCACGCCTCAATCTCATCCTTTCTGCCCCTTCCTCCTTTTGCTTCGGTGCTTCAATGGGAGGACCTTCCCCATAGAAGACCTCATCCAGGTGCTCTCCAACTATCTCAGCTTCTGAGACAAACACAAAGGAGTCTTCAGACACAGAGGCACCATCCTCGCGTGCCTCCTTTAAAGTCTCATGCTTCTCTGTCTGGACTTTAGCAGGCGGCTTCTCTGCCTCCCTCTGAAGCTGGGGAGCATCTCCTTCAGGTATTGCCACATCCAAAAGGGTAAACTTTTCAATGTAGTCGATGTCACCCATGCTCTCTGTTTCCGCAGCTATGAAACTAGTCTGTTTGTTTTCCAGTGGCTGGGAAGTGTCTCCTGAGGACTATGGAGAGATAAAAAAAAATAACTTACACTCAGAAATACTTTCTCATGATTAGATCTGCAGAATGAATAAAAAAGTAGAAATATCTTGTCTACATACCTCAGGGTAATCCGGTGTTTGCTCTGCTTCCAGTTGCTCCCTGTGGTTTGTCAAATCATTGTGGTTTCTGGACCTGATCTTTGGAGTCTGGTCCAAATAAGATAAATTGTCTTGCAGGTCTGTACTCTCCTCCTCGTCCACAGTAGGAAGTTTAGACGGGACTCTGATGTTAAGAATCTCATAGCCTTCAGAAATTAAACTGAACAACTGCTGATCTTTGGATTTTATATCCTCCAAATCTGCCTCTGTTGGCCTTTTCTCCTCTTTGATGTTAGGAAGAGAAACCTCTGCCATCTCTGGTCTCTCTACTCCCAAGGTGGAGGCGGACCGTGAACTGCCAGGTCGGCTTAGCCGGTCCCCTAACCTGCTGCTTCTTCCCCCAGACCTCATCCTCCTGCGGATTACTTTGTCCTCATCAAAGACAATGGTTATTTTACCCGCACCTCCTGAGCCCTCCATGCTGCAAGCTTCAGATGTGGAGCTAGCCTCAGACGCCCAGGGTGTAGAGCAGCGGCTGGAGGCCGTCTCCCAAACAATACCGCTGTCCTCGCTTTGCACTGTCACCATGGAAAAAGATGGGTCCACCATGAGGCACTGGAGTTTGGGCTTCACAGAGTGATCCTGAATGGCTTCTCGCAGACTTGAAACAGAGAGGAACAGATAGAGTCAGAGGCAGGAGAGCAGGAACTTTGTGCCATTCCAAAGTATTACCAAACAGCCAGAAGGCGAGAGGAGATATTTTCTGGCTCCTCTCTTGGAAATCTGAGCAGAGAACAAACTAATGAATCAAATAAAGAATATTTGAACAGCACTGACCTGTATTCACGCTCAGCTTAACAAATCAGAGTTGAAAACAAGGTGACACATAATTTTGCTTCTCAAGAGGATTGCTTGAGCAGTGTAGAGTTGCAGTACTGGGCCAGATGTCAGTGTGAGTGATACTCTGAAAAAATGAACGTTTGTAGGCACTCTAAGCTCTCCCTCTGGCTATGAATACACCTCGGTCCTTGCTGGGTTACAGCAGGATGACGTCCCCAAAACGTCATTCATACGAAGTTGAAGAAGAGATATGTGGCTTTCTCAGATACATTCAACATATCAGCGTCTTCTACTATTTATGTCATGGGAAGGTCAGTTCAATACATAACAGATCAAAGTTAAAACAGGGAAGGAATAAGAGCGTGTTGTGGAAGGACCAGCTAAAATGCTCTATTTGTTTTCCTTCTTTAAAATGTGCCATTTATGTGTTGCAAGTAGAAAACACGGTTGTTTTATATCCAAGCAGAGGGGAAACCAATCAACAACATGAGTTCAACAAATTGAACTCATGTTGATATTCAACAAGTAAATCAAGTCATAAAGTACCTGTTATGCAGCTCTTCCACTTCATCATCATCATCCTGGCTTAGAGCTTCATCCTGAAACTCCTGCAGCTCAGACTCCACGCTTTCACATTCTTCCATCTTGGTAGCTTCCTTCAGATTTTTCTTTATTTTTTGTTATTTTCTTGCCCAAAGCTGGGTTTAGCGTGTTTTAGACCCTAAGTCAATCTGATTTGGGAGTTGGTCTGTCTGTTTGTGTCATTCAAAGCTGGGAGCTTCGTCTCTGACTCAGACAGGGACAGAAATAGCTTGGGGCATGAAAACAGGGGAGTGTAGATAAGAGAGGAGCGAAGGGGACAGACAGAAAGGGTTCATTTAAGTATTCACTATAGATCAGCAAACCAACAGGTGGACATAAGCCCAGTTACAGATTTTCAGGTGTGAGAAGAAACCCTTTAGAAGATACACTCATGCATGTCTCCGTCCTTCATGGTCAACGGAAGCAATGTGGCTTTAAATTTAAAACCCACGTTTGCCAAGTTATAAATAGGGCTTATGCTGAAACTGTAGCTCTCCCCTTGCTGCTGGTGGGAAGGGGTACTTCTCAAAACACATGTAACATATCTGCCACATTGCATTGCTGGCACCATGCAGAAGTCGTATTAGGTTTAATAAGTTGTTAAACCATGATGAATTAAGAAAATAAGCCAACTGCCTCAACAGCATTGACCAATGACGACTAACAAGTTAACCATGCCAAACTATTCATAACCCTTGAACCTTTTTACCTTTTGTCGAATAACATCAGCAACCTTGAGATCTTTTATTTGAGTTTAAATCAGTGGTGAACCTTCCTTATAAGAAATACTCCAGGAGAGTAACGCTAACTAATCCAGGAAGCCACAAAAGAGCATGGAAAATATTTACTAACTAAGTACTGCAGACAAATATGGGCCAATTAAGGTCAATATTCGTGGTTCAACAATAAGAGGAAAAAGTATGAGAGAGTTCTACAGTTAGAGGAAATCCTGATAAGGTTGATTCTTATATCTAACAAAAAAAACAAAAAAAAAAACATCTGAATGAGCCCCTTTTAGGAAAAAATTTCTGTGGACTGAAGATAGAAAGAAGTGTACATATTTGGAATTCTTCATCTTTTTTTAAAAGGTGTAAAACTAAGCTGACAGAGGATTTTAAGAGAATTATCATAACAACAGGCAAACATGGTGGTGGTAGTTTGATCCCGTGGGTCTGATTTGCTGTTTTAAAGCTTGGGTGAGTTTCTGCAACTGCAAAAATTCATAAACTTTGATTATTAGCAGAAAAGCACCATGGACACCTGGACATTAACTTGTGACCTTGAGTCGGGGGTCTTCAGCCTTTTGCTCCCGAGCTGCAAGAGTCTCTCTTGGCCCCAAGGTGGCTTTTATGAACTTAGCATAAATAAGCAAATAATTGGAACAAATTTCCAACTATAGCGATTTGTGTAGCTTTTCAAGTTAATCTGATTGTATTCAGTTAAACTGGGTTATAAAAGTGGCTGATTTAGCCTTTAAGTAAAGCTATCTTACTTAGATCATAGGGAGAGGCAGTGCTCCAAGCCATACAAGCAAGTGAACCTATGAAGACCTGAAAGATATCAATGAAAAAACTGGACATAATCTGAGATCCTGTATGATGTTTAACTGTTTTAAGCATAAAAAAACAACTTTTAATGTGGCTGAATTATAGCAAGCCTGCAAATTTTATTCTGCCTATGCAACGTGAACAACTTACCGTTTTACCAATGGTTCACAATAGCTGTTGCTACCAAACAACCCGGTTAGTTACTGTAGGTGTAACATTAGGAGAAACCTTTTCTGGTAGGACCAGGTTGGGTCATAGCCTTGTTCTGCTAACTTGTCACCCTGCTGACTGAAACGATCAGATCTGAAGATTATCATATCCTACTGCAGTAATTGTATTTCTTTTAGTTTTAGTTCAGTCACACCAATTCATGGAAACAAGACTGTGCAATTTTGCTTCAGTAACTATATATCTATAAGCACATCTAAAAAATTAGAATATTGTGAAAAACTTTTATAGTTTTGGTTATGAAAAAATACTTACATTTACAGTAGTAAAAGACTTTTTTAATTTTAATTCGTAATTATCATGACTTATAATAATTATATCTGATGAATAGAACTCTTTAAAAAAATTGTATTTATCAAAAGTATAGATTTATTTCTATATACTGAGTATATTGCTTTAAATACTGCATCCCTCATCCCAAATATTCTCAATAGGTTAAGGTCATACAATTTGCTAAACAATTACAGTAACACTGAGGTTTTTCAACCTGCTTTTGGTACCATTAGCAGTGTGAGCAGATGCCAATTCCTACTGGAAAAAGAAAAAATAGCACATCTACATGTAGCTTGTCAACAGGAGGCTTAAAGTAAGATAAGGAAACTTTTCAGGAATATGGAGTTAGTTACCGTAATAGGGTGTGACATCATCAGTTTCTAGTATAAGATTTAGTGTTTGTTTTTTCAAATTTTCTGAGAAAATGAATTTTGCGTTTTGATTATCTCTGATCTAGACATCAAAATGAGAGTGAATTGAAATATTCACTCTATTTGTAAGGAACTTATTATATAAAATTTCCCCTTTCAGAAATAAATGACAAAATAATGTTAAAAGCATTACTTACAATATAAGAAATTCTTTGAGAAACAGAATTATCAAATAGAGAAATAATAGTTCAAATCTCATCAGTGTTTTGGCATTTACAGCAACAAAGTCAATTGTTTGGGTCACAAAAACACATCTGAAGAGATTTAATTATTTTTAAATAAACAGTAATTTATAGACTACAAAATGTACAAAAAGAGCTTAGAAAAACTGAAGACAAAAAAAAGGTAAACAGGAAGAAATATGCATCTGACATACCTGAAAGCAGGATAGAAATCTAACGCAGGAATTATTTGCCAAAATAAATCTAGTTGTCAGCAGCTGATCCCTGACAACAGCTGAGAAGAGTTAATACACAGGAGGAGCAATCATCTGGAGAACGCTAAAACTACAGCCTGCTGTGCTTGTTTTGCCTCAAACATCAAAGAAGAGCACAGGAGTCAGAAATAGTGAAAAAAAGGCAGAGGATCATTAATTTAATGCGGCACTAGAAAAGAAACACAATGCTGTCGACGTTGACCTATAAAAATAGAACTGAGGGTCGCAACGTCTCCATGTTATAAAAACTGTCTGTATACCGCAAATGTAAATAAATTGTCATCTTCAGGAAGGGTGCTGTGGAGAACCCAAAAAAAAAACAAGCTGCAATAAGATAAGCTCAGAGGTGAAGAGATTTTTACACCTTAAAGCTGTCAGTTCCATTTAAGCCCTTCTTAGATGGGAGATGATATCATTTCTACTCATAAAAGCACAGAAGACCATGAAGCAGCTATACAGCCTGATCCTTTGTTATCCTGCTCTGGTTTACCGTCTGTAGGGGATGGATGTTGCCTTCAAATCCTCTAGTCAGTGACAACTACATCAGACATGGTACAGCATTTTTAATCAGGCCCAACAAAATCAACTCAGTTCTTCCTCATATCCTCTTCAGCTGGGAGCCGATGAAGCCTCTTTCTCTGTATAACCTCAATGTCTTTCATTGTTCCTGGGGAGAAGCCGGTCAGCTCATCGCCTCGCAGACTCCTTACTGATGATGGATCTGAGAGGGAGGATGGAGTTCAGGTCCTTCCTCGCATGCAGGATCCAGTATGACTGCCAAAAGGAGAGAAGAGACGGGATTTAGGAGAGAGATCAGCATGTAGTGAGACAGAGACCTGGGGAACTGATTTCTACCTCTGCAAACTGAGCTTTAATGGCATCAAACTTCATCTTCTCATGGACGGCTCTGGCAACATTGTTCCTCTCAAATGGCTCTGAAACCAAAAGATTAACTCCGATATATATATAAAAAAAAAAAAAAAAAAAAACATCTCATGGTGATGCTTCAGTTCACACAAGTATGTTTCTAATCTGGAAGCTATTTGGCCTTTTGATTTTTTTTTTCTGTATTTATAAATGGAACAAGGATTAACAACTTTTTGATGCACTCTAATAAAAAGAGAAATTTCCTTCATAAAAAATTTTATGCACAACTACAGGTTCATCTAAATAAACTTTTCATGTATTTTCACTCGCTTACATACTTACCTATGTAAAGATATAGGCCTAAATATTACCATGGTTTAATTTAATTTTTGTAATTAATTATTTTTTGTAATTAATTTAACAGGAATGCAGAAAAGAAAAAGAAAAAAAAACTTTTACTAGTTGTTTTCCTTCCACACAAAGTTCCCTGGATACAGCACAGTGTACAGCTAGTTTCTTTGTGATATTCTTATTGACTTCACCCCATGAATATTTAGGCAATCTTTGTTTCAAATATCCTTTATTTTTGCCTTGCTTTTATATAATAATTCCATAAAAAACAAATATTGAAGTTGAAATTTACCAGAAGATTTATTAGGTTTACGTTTTTGTAATTAAAGAGATAAAGTAAATTATAATTTTATTCTATTTATCTAAGAATTTAAACTATTGGTTGATTAAACAGTCCACATGATGTTAATAGAGAAAGCTCCACCTGGTTAGCCACTTGCTGAAGTCTACAGGTTTAGATTTTTTGGTTTTAACTTTAGTTAGATATTTGTATAACCTTCAAAACATCAGCAATAAAAAAAATTCCCCATTAAACTTTCAGCATGATTTTATAGCTATACAGTATATCGTGTCCAGATAAATGTTTACCTTCCACACATATGAACTTGTTTCTCCACTCTTGAGAATTGGTCTTGGGTAAAGTTGTGGCCTCACGCACAGAGATCACTTGTTTATCCCAACTGCAACACAACAAGACACAACGCTCATTATTTTTAGCTCTTCTGGCTGAGGTCATCATTTCAGCTATATTTAGCAAACAAGAGGGTTTGCAGAGTTCAACTCTCCAAGTTCACTTTTGGTTTTTTTTCAGCTGTATAAAAGTAAAGCCTTTTCTATACCTAAAGCAAATGGTTGCATCTCCAGGTCTACTAGTCAAGCTAATCAGTCGATTGTGAGCCTGCAAAACTTTATTGTATACACTGGGTTTGCTGGGGAACAAAACAGCCAATGTTTACTGTTAACAAGGGGAATGGTGACCTAGTGGTTAGGGCATTGGGTGGTTCTGAGTTCAAGCCCCACTCCCACAGACTGCCACTCTGGCTCCCCGAGCAAAGACCCTTAACCCCACACTGCTCCCTGGGCCCCTCACAATGGCAGCCCACTGCTCCCCAAGGGATGGGTTAAATGCAGAGAGTGGATTCTGTTGTTCTTTACTTGTGACAGTGTGATGACAATGAAATGCTGGGGGGGGGGGGGGGGGGGGGGGGGAATGTGTGATGCTGTGGGCCATTATTGCTTTCAAATTGGGAACCTTGCTAGAGTATGGTACATTATTAGGACATTATGACAGAGGGACAATTTGAATAGTAATATAGTGCTCTGTATCCGTAATGTCAATATGGATTTGATTGCTCCTTGGACAAAAAAATGAACCTATTTCAACAAGCGTATGTCCCTAGACAAAATATCCTGTAGAAAGCTGAATAAAACAGGTAAGACAAGAGGACCAAGGATTGGATGATCTAGAGAGAATAAACAGCCAATGTTTTGGTGAAAGGTCAATATTCATTATGATGGAGGTGGGTGTAAACGGGTGCCAGGTCCCGTCCTCCAGTGCTACCATGCATCTCTTCTCTAACACACCTGAATCGCCTCATCATCTAGTTCAGCTCTGCAGAAGCTTTGCTAACGAGCCACTCATTTGATTCAGGTTGGAGATGGGACACATCAAAACGTGAAACCTTACAACCTCAGTTCGCTCAAAACTATTTTTTCTCCGCTTTGGAATGAAGATTTGAAAATTAAAGGCTGGGTTTTTCCAACTCTTTAAGTATTAGATTTTTTCTTTTAGATTTGTAACATCAGAGTATTGATGTAGAGGGAGGGTTCTGTATATAAAGACTAGCATGTGGTTTGTTCTGATCCAGTAGAAATATCAATCAGTGTGTGGTCCACTAGCTGGTTTTTAGGTCAACATTACAAACTTGGCTCGGCACGTTCTGCAAATACGGGGATCATGTATGTCATGTTAGTGCTGCGTAAGGCCAAAGGTCCCACCTGCTGCTGCCCCTCAGCCAGAAACATAAAACCAAAGAAGGATGCAGGAAGGTGAGGACAGATGGAAGACCCGAGAGGGAAGAAAAAGATTAGCAGAAAGAGGTGAAGAAATGGGAGTGAGAAAATGAGCACAAACCCATACTCCCCACTTCGACACTGATACCTGAACACTGTAGCGTAATATCTGAGAAAACCCAGCAGCAGCTCGCCCAGAGACGACTGGTTCCTTGAGATGTAGGGAGGAATGTTTTTGGGTCCGTCTGGAACCTTATCTATGTCCATGAAGGGATTAAAACTCTCCTAAAAATCAGGACAAAATTATCACAGTTAAAACCGAGTCATAACAACTCCGCTACCGGTACTTTGTGTGTATATCAAGAAAAAATACATGACTTAATATTAATTTCATAAGTTCAGAGGTTAAAAACACTGGCAGAGCTTAAAGAAAAAAAAAGTTCAGATTTTGAGGAATAAAAACCAAAACACTTACAGGATGAGCCTTTTGAAGAGAAGGAAGGACAGGTTCTTTAAGAGCTGATGAGAAACAACACATATGATAAAACAGAACAGCCCTTAAATCCATAAAATAGAAATAAAGTTTGCTTTACTAACTCTGGAGATAGTGAAGGACCATCAGCGCCAGCGTGTAACTGCTCAGCGTTCCTTTGCTGGCATCGTTGATCTGGTTGTGCCGTGCCCACTTCTTTATGACCAGAATCATGGGCCTAACCCTGACATCGGCTGAAGGAAACAGACAAAGACGGATTTAAAAAAAAGTTTGATTTTCAGTCAAAATGAAAGGAGACAGTAAATAACGGCGTGGCAGAGCGTCTCACCCACCGTAAGCGTAGCTTCTCAGGAGGAATGTGTTTCGGATGCCCACTGTGTTGTTGACATTCAGGTCAAACTCCAGGTAACTGATGAGGTGAGGATTAGGGAAGATAAAAACTCATTTAGGATCAAACTGGGAAGTAAACAAAAGCTTAAAGAACGTATTGCTCCTACCTGCCTCTCTCTCTGAACTTGAGGATGGGGACTTTAGCCCTTATCAGCTGAATCCTTTCAATATATGCTACAAATCAAAAATAAATCATCAGGCTCACAGATGCTTGTTTTCTGCAAACCTGAAAGTACTTTAAGTCAAGTAAATAGGTCCCTCTAGTGGACACTTAAAAGAAAACATCCTAAACAGAAAAATATACAATTTCTTTAGGGAAAAAATATTCACATCCTTTATGTTTTTTTCTGTTTTGTGCCTTTAACACCAGAATTTTTTAATGTATTTCCATTGGAGATTCATATACAACATAAACAGAACAAAACTGTGTAGAAAGAAAATGGGGCGGGGAACTTTAACATTTATTTAAACAATAAGCAGATATCTGAAAGGGTAATGTGAATTGTTATTTGTATATTTGAACCATATTTCCACCCATAGCTGCTGTATTTTAGGCTATGTCTCATCTAGAGAATGAAATGTTTGCCCTGCTAAGCTTGAAACGCATGATCAGATTTTTTTCCCCTTTTTTCTCCTATTTTTTGCAACAGATAGCATTAGCTTAAGACTTTACTTGGGTCATTTCAACACATAAATATGTTTTGATTAAAAGCAATGACATTTCATCCATTATGTATATAGGATCTTTGTCCAGAGGGATGGTGAACCTTGGCCGAAAAGGGAATGAATGACATGGGCACTCTAGATTGTATTTTGAATATAAATGCACACTGTATTTGTATTTATTCATATGCAATAGGTCATATAAACCATTTTACATGAATAAAATAGTTTATCTGTAAACTATTTTTTAAACCCTGCATCTTTTGTTCCGCTGCACGTGCAGCTACTGCTTCCTTTGTTCTGTCACAGATATAGCTGCAGTAAGGTGACAAAATCCAACACATTTCAAGGAGTGTTAAAACTATTGCAAGCCACTGAATGTTAAAGATAACAAAAAAAGAGACCAGATGGTTTCGGAAAAATAGAAATCAAATTTTTGGTTTTAAATCACTTACGGAGGGATCTGAAAGCCCTTTTGAGCCGAGAGAGGACATCAATTGGGTTGGGACGTTTCTGCAACAGGAAATGGGTAACAGCAGTGATTACTTGTGAGAAAATCGGTGTAAATGGTTCTGATTTGGATAGAAAATAATGCAGACGTACATTTCCCTTAATCACAAGACAAAGGTCAGCATCGCTGCTCCGGGAACCCAATCCATTCATCGAAGATCCGGTCAGGTAAAGCCGTGCCACTGAGATAATCACACTTATAATGAGAAAACAAAAAGGACAACAACTAGCTAATAGTAAGGAAATTAAATCCGTCTGATCCAAACCTGGAAATATTTCCTGTATGTCTTCTTGTAGCCGTGCTCGACACGCCTCTTTCCTCTCCAGATCTGAAGATTGTTGCTGACAAGCCTCGAACAACTCCACCATCTGACCACTCAGCTGAACACACAAATACATTTAACGCTTACAAAAAAAAAACAAAAAACTAACTTATCAATCAAAAAACATCTACAAAAGTCACAAGCATCTACCTTGTCCGTGATGTAGTTCTGAATGCTCAATGATATGTCAGGGATGGTGAGCACCTCTGTGTTCGGTTGATGGAGCGGATTGGGATTAAAGTGATCAAAACCCACGATGCCCAATCTTAAGGTCTCCTCCGCTGCTGGGGGAGGATTGGCAACCAATCTTAGAGGGGAGGCGGGCGATAGCTGGAGCAAAGGTTCAACTCGTTGGCGTTTGAGAGCGTAAGTACTGTGCTCATTATGGCGCCTCCTACAAAGGTTGAGATGATGAAGAAGCACATTGTGACCAATTAAAGGCAATTTCGCCTTAAACACGGGAGAGTATGGCACGGATGGTTCAGCTGTATGCAAAGGGAGCTTACTTTCGCCCACTGGTTATACTGGCGATGTGCCGAGGGACGTATGCAGAGGTGAATGGTTGAGGCTTCCATTCGTAACGAGGCAACATCTCCACGTTTGGAAAATTAAAGCTGAAAAAAAAAAAAAAAACATCCCAATATGGGCTGGTTAAAAACATCTAAAAAGTAACCTTAACTGTATATGTGAGAAATCAGTGAAAGACTACCTCTTCACTTTGTGTGATTGGTTGTTTTTTGCTTTCTCTGGTGCCAAAAACACAAACTTATATAGGGCAATATCTCCTGTTTTTGATCAATCAAACCAGATCCTTTAAGTATAAAACGATAAAACTGCGGTATGAATGCGTTCCAAATGCCAATCTTTTTAAAATCAAATGTCTTTACATTTTTTTCTCAACAGAATTTCTTCTAAAAATAACAAAAGAAAACTATTTTACAGGATGAAAGCATTACAGAGCAGCAGCAAGTTAAACCAACAGGGTGATAATTGAGTCAAAGTATTTGAACGGCAGTGGCAACCAAAACTATGCCGCATTACCGTCCTCTTTTCTCTTTTTCTTCTTTTCTATTCACTGTGAGATAAAGGCCTTCTAAAACTATTTCCTTTAACTGTCTTTACCCTCACTTTATTGCAAAAACAATCCTGATTTTAAAACATGCCCACGCACAGAACCAAGCAGCTTTCCTTTGTAGATTACAGCTGTGGCTCAAAATGTGTGCAAGCCTCCACCGTGCCTACATTTAACATGATCCACACAAATGAGGCAGCCGATCAATGTTATTTACTGGTTACCTTGGCAACCGTAACAAAAAAACAATGTGAAAGAGCGCCGCAAGTAGAAATAGATGTATTGGTTATAAAATAAATCAGAAAAATATGTTTGGTAGCAAGAGTAAATAAAAGGGAAGTATTATTAATCCCTTAATGCCAAGTGTATCATATCTGATGCATCAGTTTTTTAGACATCTGCATCATCGGTGTGATATTTCTGATCTTGCAAACCTTCACTTACACATTCAGACACATGTAGTGAACAGAAAATGCATAAAGTATTATAAAGAAATGCCTAATGTATCATAATGTATGTAAATAAATGATCTAATTTCACTTATACAAGAGGTATGTTACGTATTTAATTGATCAGAAAGTTCAATCACAACTCTAATAAAACAAAATAGAATTTCCTGTGTTATTTCATGGTCCAGGCTTTAAAAGGTTAATGACTCCCTTAGAGTCTGATGTGTCCTGATCATATAAACAAGGAAACATTGCAGTTAGCGTGATATCTCAGATATATGGATAATTTCATCAAATCATTCTGGTTCTAAACGTTTCCTCAGACAGAGAGTTAATGAATTGTTAATTAAACACAAGTAAATTAGCTCTGTTAGGAGCCCTTTCTCAGGAAACCCAGAGAGGTTATCAGCTGTCCTTAATTAAAAACGAACCAAAAATTAAAAATCATCTGGGGAAGCAGTTAAATAGTGGGTCTATTTAATTATCTGTAAGATTTAATATGGACAAAAATAGTCTTGTTTATTTTGGATATTGGACACATAATTCATTAATGTATCTTAGAGTCTATATGTACGGATAGTTTTTTATACCCACTTCCTTTTTTAACACCTGCTATTAACAGGGATGGTGTGGGTTCAGCGGGTCAGTCTCAGCCCATAGATCAATGCTCTATGGAGTCCTATCATCTGATAAACAAGTCATCCTCATGGGTCAGGAAACATTGATAATCCCTAAAATTCGGTTACCTAATTCTCCAGTATACAGTCCAGCATAGTTAAAGCATCTATTATGCACAGGTGGTTTAGTGGTAATAAACATTTTATAGCAATCCGTGTAAATTCCTATTTCTATTAATACATAGATCTGTGGATCGATTCACCCTTTTGGGTATCAGGGAGAGGAATTTGATGAGAAGAAATTTTGATTTTGAATTTCAGTCGTTTATAAACCTTATTTTATTAGTATGACATGTCGGCTCAGCAGTGCCAGCATTTATCATACTGTGGTTTCACATCCGATACAGTCGATCTAATATTAAGGTTTCAAATGAAACCAGAAATGAGACCACAGATCAGCAAACTTCTGCTAGGAAAGTAAAAAGTTGATATTTCTCCTAAATCAAAAACATTTTCGAATAAGTTCACACAAGAGGCAGAATAGTTCAGTCAGCAACTGAAGTAGAGGTCAGCAGACAACACTCTGTGTATATAAAATGACAATAAAAGTTGTCTAAGTCTAAGAAAAGCATAAATAATCTGTTTTCTTTTTGAGAAAAAAACTCAGATGTTTAAAAAAGAAAAAAGGGGGGATTATGAAATTTCCTGCTTTTAAATCGATTAAACTCTGACCATACCATTTCTTAATTTATCTCTTTCTGTCTTGAAAGAACAGAATACTCCATAACAATAAAGCGAACAGCAGACATGGCTGAATTAGCATCAGAGTAGAGCATTATGTTTAGATAAAATCCCAGAGGAGCCAAAGATATCCAACCATCAAGGTCTTGCAGTGGAGCCAGATTCTGATAGAGACAGTTGTTTTGGGTCAGGCTGACTGCTGATTTTCTGTCTGCTTTGAGAGTTTATGCTGATGCTTCACAATGACAAATAATTTTTTTTTTTCACCAGATCCAAGCTTAAAACTCTCCAAGATTGTACCATTTCAACTAGTGTGGGTATGGATGGCATTATATGTAGTTTATTTATTTTTAAGTTCAGCTGCTTTAAGTAATGTTGTTTCCCCTACAAAGATAAATACAGTTTAATTCTACCTATTTAAAACGTAAATTTTTGATTAAATACTGAACTGGTTTAGATAAAACAAAACAAAAAAAAGGGGAAATTAATTGGCTGGATATTTAGTTTGATTTCACTTTAGATAACGTCTGCTGGATGTCTTCCTTATTTGGACTCACCTGTTCGCAGCTTTCGGTCCATGGCTGGATTCATAAACCCAGGGCGCTCGTGGCGGAGGGTACGGCTCGCGGCTGTAAGCTGACCGCGGGGTCGGCGTCTTATTGCGGTTAAACATATCGATGAAAGCCACTGAGATCCAACATCAACGTTACTGGTGTCTTAAACATAACCCAAAACAGACCGCATGAATCAAATGGGGTTGAAGAAAAGCCCGAACGTGACTAATGTACTCAATCCCAGAAGGCAGCTAAAGGCATTACCAAGTAAACTGAAACTTAACGACGGCCCTTGACGAAGCTAACAATATATTAGCTGGCTCAAGTTTATCCTAGATTACCATCAATTGGCATAAATGAACAAGATTAATCCAGAGGTTTAAGAGTACACGATGCCACTGAAAGCCGTAGAAAATTGTATCCCTAAAGAACATCATACTTTCTATTACACTTACCCAAATTACATATCACATGTAAACAAAACTAACGAAGCTGACTCGCAGCGTACAAACTTCCGCATTGATCCGATGACGTAACTTAAGTGTATTTTTAAAGGAGACGTGTACTTAAAAAAATCAGCTGAAACGAAACTGGACTGTCAGAGATTTTTCAGTGGTGCTGGTGGAGAATTAGGAAGAGAATTAGGGCCACTGAAAAAAAAATTAAAGTAACAGATTTTTACATTTTATTTCAGTAAAATATGACAAAAAAGTCACAATTCTGAATTTAATCTCACAATTCTGACTTTTTCCTCACAATTCTGACTTTTTTCTCACAATCCTGACTTTAATCTCATAATTCTGACTTTTCTTCTCAGAATTCACGTAAAAAGTTGCCTAATTGCGTAATTTTCCACCAATGTGTCACTGGCCCTCCCAAACAACTCACATCTTTGTCAGTGAAGCTGGGTGCTCCCACATCTCTTCCTTTATGGTGTCCATCTATATTACAGTTTTTTCTGAATGCTTAAGCACATTTTTTGTAACTATTGGCCAGTTTTGCGAAACTCTACACACAAATAAGAAAACCTTTCACCCGATTATGAAAACATTGCAGTTCTCTTGCAAAAGCGAACACAGCTAGATTAACTCTTCACATCTTTGTAAAAAATTGTGTTTTCATATCAAACAGTAAACACAAGCCATCATCTACTAAGCACACAATGTGCCAACTACACACTGATGGTATGGATACAAAACACATCTGGCTTTCCTTTTGTGTACAGATGTCCATTTGAGGTCATACTTTTGTCATAGTGTCATGTAAACATACAAGGATCCAAATGTCAAGTATTGCTGTTTATTCACACTCATCAAAACCAAGAACACAAAATAGTAATTTCACAAAAAACAAAAAAACTATCTTTCTGGGTCCAGCTACAAAATTTCGTCCACATCGCATGCGATATCCTCCAGTCCAAGGCACCGGGGAAAATATCTCCTTGAAAGCCGTATCCAAGCCTGACATGATGCCTGGTCAATATCTCCACATGCCTCCTCCATTGCCTGTAAAAGGGCTACCTGTTGATGAGGATGACGGCCGTACACTTTCCAGTGCCAGGCAGAGAAGAACTCCTCGATGGGATTTAAGAATGGAGAGTGTGAAGGGAGCTTGAGTGCCATGAAGAATGGGTGGTCTGTAGACCAGTTGTGGACCAAAGCAGCCCTATGGAAACTAACATTGTCCCATATGATGACATATCGGGTATGCTCTGGTCTCTGAACAGTGAGCATGTCATGTAAGGTGTCCAGGGATGCAATAATGTGTGCAGTGTTGTATGGGATTATGGCTGCATGACACCATTTCACGCAGTCTTATTACATTATTGGCAATCACCATGTTCGCTATATGGGTCTCTTGCTCTGGAGTGAGCATTCTTCCTCTGCCCCAAACATCTACACGTCAAGTAATTCTATAAAGTAACAATTTCAGTATTTTTGCATGTATGGTACTGTTGTGTTTCTCATTATAGTATGGGGGTGCTACAAAGTACTTACCGATTCTCATTTCAAAATGTCCTAATGATGCTTGCCACAGTGTAGCAGCTCAAATTAGGCCGAACCCGTTGCCCAGCTTCCCTCAGGGTCATCCCGTGTTTGATGACATGGTTCACTATTGTAGCTCTGATGTCATTAGTTATTCTATTTCTTACTCTTCTTGCCCTTCCTCTTTCCCCTCCTCGTCCTCTTCTTGCTTCTCCTTGTCCTCTTCCTCTAACTTCCTCTAACCCTCTTGCTTCTTCAACTCCACGTCCTCTCCCTCGGCCTCCTCTGATTCTCACTCTTCTCACTCTTACTGCCCCAGCCATTGTACTCCACATAGACAGCTTACCTGTGGCTTATTTATAGTGCTTAGGCTGATTGCAAAGTAAACTAATTATCTAAAACAGTTTTCACATGTGAAAGTGTGCCAGACAGTTGCCAATGTAGTGTTAATGATAGCCATACATGTGTATAATTTTGCTAGGAGTGTGTTGGAAATTGGTAATAGAATGTTGTGCAGTAAATTGTGCCTACAGTTTTGCAAAATGTGTGTTACAAAATTGCAAACTGAGTGCAATGCAGTGTTTGTGCTTTTAGTTTTGCAAACTCAGTGAGTGGTTTTGCTATACGTTTTAATAGTTTTAGAAATTGTGCTACAAGAATCACGATTAGCGCTTAAGCATTCAGAAAATACTGTAAGATCCACAATTCTGAGATTAAAGTCAGAATTATGAGAAAAAAGTCAGCATTATGAGATTAAAGACAGAATTATGAGAAAAAAGTCAGCATTCTGAGATTAAAGTCAGAATTATGAGAAAAAAGTCAGCATTATGAGATTAAAGTCAGAATTCTGAGAAAAAAGTCAGCATTATGAGATTAAAGTCAGAATTATGAGAAAAAAAGCCAGAATTCTGAGATTAAAGTCAGAATTCTGAGGGGGAAAAAAGTCAGAATTCTGAGATTAAAATCAGAGTTCTGAGAAAAAAGTCAGAATTCTGTCAGTCAACTTTTTTTTATTTTTTCACTGACCCTAATCCTCTTCTGTAATAAACTCTCCTTACAAGCCAGTGTTGGTTTACTGAAGAAATTGTGCGGTGCCAGCTATGTTTCTATAACTGTTTATGTTCAGGTACATTTCTGCTTTTAAATGGATTGAATATGTTTTTATTTTATTTTTCCATAAGTGTTAAGCAATGGAGAAGGTAATATCCTTTTTTTTGTTGTTGTTTTACATCTTTGTAAGGGCTTGATAATCACTGTCAGTACATTTTTTCAAAAATGTGTTAAAATAAAATCCATAAGACATGATAATGAATTTGGAGACAACATAATAATAATAACAACCATAATAATAATGATAATTACAATAATAACAATTAGATTCATAAAAATCTGGTGTATTAAAAACAAAACTTTACACTTAATTATAATAATTTATTATTCTTAAAATTAATGGGGTATTTTACAGAGCGACTGCGAAGTGTCTGATTTAGTTAAAGCGCTGCTGTCAGTGACCGTTTTAGAGATGACTCAGACTGTTTGTGAAAAAGAGCAAATTAACTTGCAGCCTGGTGATTGCAGGCTACACGATCACTATACCTAAGTGGAATCATTTTTATACACAGCATTACATTTCTTTCAGTACATACCTGTTTAAACGTTGCTTAATGTAATAAAAATTTATTCTGAAAATATACAAATTGGGTTGATTTGCATGTGGACTGTGAATCAGATAAGTTCAATAAAATGATGATCCCTGCTATCAACTTATCTTCATGTCATGAACATAACATCCACCATTATATCTTTTTCCACACTTTATTAAGTTCCACAGTCAGTAAATCCAGACATCAAAGATAAAACAAATAATAGCTTTTTTGTGCAAACTCAATAAATAGAAGTTTGATATTAATGATAGAAAGTAAATTCAATTCTCACATTTTGTGTTTAGTTTTAAGTGCATTGGTCTAAATTAGGGAGTGTACACAGTTCAACTCAGGGGCCGTTTGTGTCCTTTGGATGTTATTCAGCCCCTGAAATGCAAGCTAACGTAGGCTCTTGATACAGATAGTTATTTTATTTAATTACATGCACATTTATTAAAAGCATGTTAGAATCATCTTACAATGAAAATTGTTCTGACGCATAGAAATCAGCTGTTGCTATTTTTTGAAAATACACCAAATGTTTTTATCTTTTTTTTTTTAATGAGCTCAGTAGAAAATGTGAATTGAATGTCTTTCTGTAAACCAGCACTGTTCCTTTAACCGCTATTGGTGTTATACCTGTAACATCCAGATTTATCTGCCATGAAGGCCACCGACAAGACAGCACTGTAGCACAGTTAAACAGTCTCTCTGTGTTTTGGAATCTGAAAACAGACCTCTTTGGACAAGCAGATTGAGAAGCCAAGAGAGAAGCCATACAGACCCTTCTAGATTGAATCCTACATCAGAGAACAAACAATATGCCTGATCAGGAAAGTGTCAAATCTGTTTGGTTGCGTAACTGAAACTTTTAGCTTAATTAGCGCTTGCGTCTAAGGGGAGTTCAGACAGTCATAGGCTGAATCCCAAACCGCCCCCTAAGCACTAAACCTTAATTTTATAGTATCACTCCCAATCAAGGGCGTAGGTTTGATTTGAACTTTGGTAGGGACACTATCAGTCGGTTGTCATTGGTGCTATGCAATATGCATGTCCTTTTTTATGCACGGTGTGAGCATCTGTACTGATAAGAGGAATTCATTGTTAAAAGAGAAAAGCATCATTTTGCTACATTAATAAAAATTGTATAAGCACTACACTCATTAGATGCTGTTTATTAATGTTTGAAGTATCACCGGCTCTGATCAATGTGGAATTAGGACTGTTTTCCACTTTGAATATGGTTTCATTTGAACGACTAAGAGAGAAGGTAAATACAGTATTTTCTTCTGAAGATATAGAATTGTGCAGGGTTAAACCCCACTCTTATATTTTTACCTACTATTCTCTCTCTGTATCAAGCAAAAATAATACATTCATTAAAATATTAACTTCACTATAAAAGTGGAACATCTGGGCTGTAGTTACTCTGTGTAGCCCATTTCATGTATTTTATCTGGGACTGAAAAAATGAATCATATTAATTGATTATTTCAATAATCGTCAACTAATTTAGTGAGTGATTCATCATTAACTGGAGAATAGAGACTCTTAAACATAATAAAAATGTAAAATATGCCTTTCTCCGACAGAGCAACCCACTTAGATCAGTAATTATACCAACATTTTAAAAATACAACATATATATATATAATATATAAGATAAAAAAATGTTTTTGTCTGTCAATATTCTTCATCCAGAACTCATCAAGAGGAAATATTTTAGTATTACCTGGTTTATTTAGACATCACCTGAAGCACTGAAGGGCCAGCTGCTTCACCTACAAGCTGCCCTGCATCTTTATTACTGGATATCTGTGTTTCCTATAATCATATAATGTATAAGTACATTTTTAATAGTAAAGGATTAAATGTAACACAACCTTTTATCATCGTCCTATATTGCTTACTGTCTGACTGTTTAAATAGCTCCTTATGTATATTTTCTTTTTTAGTAGCATCATCTACAAACACAACACTGAGCACGAGCCTAAGTGTATTAAAATATAAAATCACTTTTATCAATTATAAAAGACAATATAACACTATCTTATCTGTAATTTAATAATATCCAAAACAAACAGTCAGATTCAAGCATTTTTACCAGACATTAATGTTAGTACTAATTTACTTGTGTGGAAATCTATGTAAGATAAAATCAATGTTAATATTCTTCCTCTGTTTGTTCTTGTCTTTATCCTATTTCTAGAAGTATAAATAGTCAATTAAAATATTATTATTATGTGGAACCCTAATTATGCTTTTTAAACAAAAAATAGCAGATGTTTAGGCACCATTTCTTGTTGTTATAGGCTACTCTATAAAAGAAATAACACCTGCTAATAATTATACCTGAAAGAGTAATCAAAAAATGAAAACAGTAATAGCAACTAAATATCGGTAAAAAGGAAACCCTCACATTTTCTTTCTTAATTGGCTGTGGCTAAGAATCAGAAATGTTGATGGCTTACAGCCTTTATTTGCCAATTTTTCCAGCAGTCGTCAGAACTCCTGGCTGACTCAGAATATTTCGTTTTAAAAAAGAAAAAAAAAAGGTTTTTGTTTTGTAGTGCACATGATATTCCTTTTTTTTTTTAATTGGGACTAGTTTTGCAGCCTAATATTAATTGTAGTAACCGCGGCATTCTAGTGTGAATAAATTTTCAATTTTGTGCTCCAAGTACAGACGGACTAGAAAACAGCCTATCAGAGAGAGAGAAGGCGGGACCTAAGGCAGAACAACCAATGAGAGTGGAGTTAAACAGCGCAGCACAGTTCCATGCGCTGCTACGTGAAAGGGACAGGAGAGAGCAGGCAGAGGAGCTGCGAGAGGAAAAGAAGCCACTGCTGCAACAAGTACTGCTGTAAATTATAAACATGTTGCTCACATCCAATTATTGGTAGGGACAATTAGGACGGTTCAAAATTTTGGTAGGGACATGTCCCTATGGTCCCTATGCAAACCTACGCCCATGCTCCCAATGAAGTCACGCTGTGGAAGGGGCCTTGATTGAAGGTTGGGGAATGGGATGACCTCTTTCCTCCAACGGAAAAGGAAATCAGCCGTTGCTATGGCAACACAGTGTCCCAATCCCAAACCATCCCCTTAACACTAACCCTTCATTGTCGAGTTACCACAGAGGGTCTGCTACATTAAGTGCAATCCCCAAACCATGTAGTGGATAAGGCCAGTGGAACATTCAGCCCTTAAATAGTGAGTCAGGGGCCCAATCCCAAACCGGTCTCTAACCACTAGCCCTTCACTCTCAAGTGTCACTCCCAGTGAAGTCACACTTGCAGCTATGGAAGGTGCCTTGATTGAAGGTAGGGGGGTATAAATGAGAAGGGGATGGCATCAATGTTTTTTTTTTCAGAACAAATAAAAAACTACTTTTTTTTAGAGCTGAATTTATCAGTTTTTCTTGAGTTCTAATTCAGATTCCATATAAAATGGTAATTTTAACTTAAATTAAGTAAAAAATTTGTAAAATTCCAAAAAATCTATACTTAAAAACTGGAAATCTAGGGAGCCTCCAAACAAGAAACATTGGATCAACGAACTGTTGTCATACTGCACTCCTGAAAAAATTCTCCATTCGGTATGTGAGACATTGGCTAAATTTGACCATATGGAGTCCCTTTTTGGACATTCTAACAATATTAGACCTGAGAGACTGATCAATATTGATCTTCACTGTGTTTCAATTATTCCAATATTTTTGTTGTGCTCTTTTATCTTAATTCTGACCTTTCAGAAAATATAGTTAATGCTTACTATAGTACTACTAGTGTAAATGTGTTGCTACATGGAGAGAGTGGTTGGGGTGGGTGGGTTTGTTTTTTTGTTGTTGTCTCATTTTGTTTGTTTTTTCTTTAGGTTTCAAAAATAAGAAAAACACCATTTTATTTATTTATATATAATATTTATTTATTTATATATAAAAAATATGTATAATTCCTAAATTATGAAGGCATATTGACCTAATAACACATACAATTTTATTTAAAGCTAATTGAATATAAATTTCACTTTGTGCAGGTATCTTAATACATTTGAAAATAAAAATAGTAAAGATGACTGTAAACTTACAGTTCTAACATTTTTTATTTTATTTTATTTTTTTAAGGCCCCAAATCAAAATGAGCTAGACACAAAACAGAAGAGAAATAACCATGACAACGTGTTTCTAGGTGTTTCTCTGACTCTTAAAATACCACACACTGCCTTTACAACAACATTGAGACCAATCCACATCCACAAACTTATTTAAAATAACAAAAAAGCATCAAATGGCATCAGTCCCCTGAGCGCAGAGTGACGTCACTGCGGAGGACGGTGGTGACGTCGGCAGTGGGAAGGAAGCGGATGCATCATCCAGCTGTGGGGCTGGGGGGGTAATTAGGGTTACTGCAGGATAATTTGGAGCTGGCTTCTTTGGGAATGTCGGGATTTCACTCGTGTTAAAGTGGGGGGGGGAACAAGAACTGATGCTGGAGAAACAAAAAATGAAACTTTGAGGAAACGCTGTTAAGGAGTGGAGGAGTGGGGGGGTGTAGCCTGTGGTAATAGGCTGTGAGGGAAAGTGGGAGTGGGGGAGAGACGCGCACAGTGATGCTGCGCGCTGTCTTCTCTCTAAATGAGGATTGTCTTTCCCCAGTTGGAACAGCGGCAGGGTTTCTCCACCCTTCCAGAGAGGATCTGGGTTTTACTCAAGAAACAGCGGGGCGTCCGTGGGATCTTCTCCATCATCATCTTCCTCCTCCTCTGAGCTGGGGTCTGCGGCTGCTCCTGCAGCTCCATCATCCACAGCAGGAGAGCGTCTGACCACCGGGGCATGTGCGCTACGACATGTATGAGTGAATTCATGCGGTGACACGAGAAGAGGAATGGAGCTGCTGTCAATGCATTCCTGCAGACGCACCGACGGTCATACGCTGCAGACTGTCTTTTAGAGAGAGGTGGAGGGGGGGGATCTTCATACGCAGCAGCCCATCCAACACATTGGCTTTTTTATTCCAGCGAGAAGCGATCAGTGTCGCCTTTCATTCCAGCCACAACAATGGGGTAAGTGGGAATGATTTAACCTTGCAAGCTGAGTTAATTTACTTAAAAAAGAATAGCCTTGACATGAAGACCTTTAATGGATTGGTCGTTCATGTGCTAAAAATGAAATTTCAGCATATTTTAGAGTGAGCTTTATGTGGATTTATGTGGATCTTTCAGAAGTGTGGCATCACTTTGAGGCCTTGGTCTGCTGAATAAAAAAAAAATGTTTTTCAAATAGCAAAAATAATAATAAAAACAGGATATATGGTTCATGATGTTCATTTAAAATATACTTAAGTAAATTAAATGTCAGGGCAACAATTCAATATCAGACTTGCTTGCCAACTTGTCTGACCCTGGACCAGTCCTCAGCTGGAGCTCCATAACAAAACAAACAAAAAAATAGTGTCAGTCTTTTATTTTCTGACTCTGCAAAAAATATTTATAGCAGCATCTTCATCACACTGATCCATGTTCATATATAAATAAAAAGCAACTAAATAAAGGCAGCACCCCGATGAATTACCCCTATGGAGGATTTTATATGATACAATATTAAATAATGACACAATACAAACTACTACTGCTTAAGTGTATAATTGGGTCAATGACATCACAAGAGGTGATGTAGCAGTTCTGTACAAAATCCTTTTGGGACTTAGAATGTTTGATGATGAAATGTAGCTCCAAGATCAGGTCATTTTTTATCACCATGTTGCAAGTTCAGGGAAATGATCCTTGAGGATCTTTGATCATGAAGTCTGGTCTTATTCCAGTCTGGCCTTAAATCTCCTCACAAACACATTTCCATGTATTTCACAGTTGGAAGACTAACATATAGCTCAAACGATTTGCTGCAGCATAAACGAATAAAAGGAAACACATCTGAAGGTGGAAGCTGTTTGAGGAAAGTGAAAATAAAATGATAAAATACAAACTGACCCTCTTAAAAATACTCCAATGTGTTGCCTTGTGCCTTATGAGATGTCATCAGAGACATGTGCTAATGAAAGTTTGTGTTTGAGAGGTTAAATATTAACTTAAGTAAAAAGCAATGACTTACATTTGCTTCCTTAATTCTATATAGCTGCTTGAAAACAAATATAACGTACAATTATTTTTACACAGTTATGTAACTGAGCACCAATCTATAAACCAGCAACACTTTCTCCATTATATTCTCATTCAGAGATGGTTTGGAGATGAGCTGTACATCCTGTTCCTTATTCTGCTGGTTGGTGAAGAAGAGCATAATGTCAGCAGCAGAGGAATGTCAGATGAAGCTCTAGAGCTGCACTCTGTGCTGACAGAAAGCCGCTTTCTGTCTCTATGGCAGCACAAGCGGCCGCTGCACACCCCCAACCACAGGCACCCATAAGTGAATCAGCCTTAAGCCTCACACACACAGGGAGTGCAGCGAGTGATGCTCATTTGCATGTCCCCCTAACCCTGAGCTCAGCGGTCCGTTTCCTCCACTCAGCCTGCCATTCATTAACAGCTGTCTATTGCACTTCATTGTGATTAATTACACAGCAGGAGGTTAATAATAATGTGGCACACTCACAGTGCAATTTCTAGAAGTCAGCCAAAACTCCTGCATTAACTATTTAGTCACCCACTCTCCTCCTACAGTGTGGGCAGCCCAGCGTTCAGCCATGTCCCACTCAGCTTCAGCTCTCCACTGGTTCCTGCCATGCTGGTGACTAACTGTTATGCAACAGATTCAATGACTCAATTGATCCACAGTGGACTTTATTGTTAACTGTAATCCAAAGCTTCCCGCTGCTGCCAGTTTGTGTGTTTAGGTCTTCTGTGACTTATAAAAGCATTATTACCACTTCAGCTTTTCTGGATTTTACTTGTTCCACCACAAACTTCAGACTTTTTAACCTCCCCTTGTTAAATAAATCCCAATGGTGCGTTCCTGAGAAGACAAGATCTGGAAGTTTGCTTGCAAACTTCAGTAAAGGCACTGTGTATATGCACAGGGGCAGATTAGATTAGCTGGCATAAAGCTGCAGCTCTGTTGCCTGGCAGCCTGACTGGTAATAATGGCAGATAGAGTCATATTTCACTTCCAGACTCGCGGCTCAATACGAAGCCTGTTGGAGCTCTGATAATAGCAGAGAGGAACACTGTGGTGCTGGACATACGGAGGTGATCCCTATCAACACTCCCGTTTGCAAATGCAATCAGAGCACGGTGACGTAATCCAACTATTCCCTACAGATGTAGCAACAAACTGCCTCCCATCAAAATCTGCTTAATCAGTACAAGGGAAATCTATAAAAAAAATAAGTTAAATGAAGATTTTAGTAATTTTTTTTCAAAATCTTTAGGCAAAGAGGTGCAGGAGCACATCAAGAGCAGAGCACATTCAGGTAGAAGAAAAGTGCAGCATTCTGAGGGATAACATGATACAGGTGTGTGCAGGCACTACCTGCTGCATCCCAGGAGCCACACATGAAAACTTATGAAAGTTTGAAAGTTCATGGCTGTCTTGTTGCGTGTTTATTTTGTTGGCTAACTGTTGGCATAAATAATTTAGATGCAAAGTAAAAATGTAAGCCATATTAAGGTGTATGACAGGAATCAGTTTAGACTATATGTTTAAAATGACAGTACATGTTTAAACAAAGACCTTTCCAGAACTTGGCAGCTCCTAAGGAAAGTTATGCCTCCTCTTGTTCTTTTGCAACAACACATGCAGTCAATATTAAATCATATAACCAATGATGGAAACAATGATGCACTTCCTGACATCATCAGCAAAAATAGCTCTTTTATTTTTCACAACTCCAGACTGCAGATAATTGAACTCAACTAAAGAGAAGAAAACTTCAACCAAGGTCAGAGGCCTGACATTGGTTTGTGTTTGGATAATAGGAAAAACAAAAACACACCAAAAAAAACCTTTCCTTTAGTATTTACTGTGAAAGCATGGGTAATGCATTATTTTTGATATTATCCCAGTTTGTGGAAAAACTTGGTGAGCACAAATTAAAAGATCGAAACAGTGAGACAGATGCAAAATAATTAACCCTTGATATTAAGGTGGTTGCTATTTCTTTTAACCATTACGTGTGTATTTAGGCTTTAAAGAGGCATACTTGGTCATTTTATGCCTATTTATATGGTTTGATCAGGACCCGTTTGTTTGGGAATCACACTCAAACAATTTATCAGTCCCAAAGGGAAAATTGATACAGATAGATTAATAAAATGAATATTCTGTAAACTGCCCATAGTACACGATAAACAACATTTCTTTACTCAAATCGACCAGCAGGAGGTCTGGTTTGATCAGAGGTCAGAATCTCTTACAGCATCAGAGATCAAAACCCCAGTGAGTGTTTATAGGGCACTGTGATTAAAATAAAAAAAAGAATAAAAGAGTAACTTGGAATGTGAAATGTAAGCATTTCTATGATAATATATGTCCATAATTAATACAAATTATTAACTTTAAATAAAAATAATTTTTAAGGAAATGGGGTGTAAATCACGGTGGTAATTATTGACTTTATACCTAGATGTAATTCAGTTTTACAGATATTTACAAATCAATATATACTCCGCTAAAGATCTAAAATGATCTCTGGGATAGCTTGATTTTTTTGCTTTTTCAGTAATATAATATCACACCAGAATATTTAAAATAAAATAAAAACAACCTAGTTTACTATTCTCAGCGAGTAAAGAGCAGCCCACATTAGGAAAGCATTATTTCTGAAAACATCTAATGTAAAAAGTTGCTAAAACTTTATATAAGTTCAATTAAAGCATTTCATTTTGCTTTCTCTGTCATTGATTAGGTTGTCTTTCAACCTTTAACTAGTTATCTATAATTTCCTCTGACTCCAGGTCCTGCTAGCCTCTCTTTAAAATTATAAAGACTAGAAAACCTGGTACCCAAACCAGACAGGTGTATGTTGGTCCTCATAATCCAGGAAACTGCCGCTAGAGAATAAGATACCTTTCCTTTTTCATATTTACAGTCAAAGAACAAGAACTGAAACCTTGATAACAGCTGGAAATGTGATCGATAAGATGAACCATGAATCAGAGTTTCTCTTATCGATAAGGAGGGAGTTTAGGGAGGTAAATATGACCCTCCTCACTTCACTTCTGTTGTGAATGTAATAATAATTTAACTTTATTGATCTCACATTGGAGAAATTTACCTCTACATTTAACCCATCCCCTTGGGGAGCAGACGGCTGCCATAGTGTGGCCCCCGGGGAGCAGTGTGGGCTCAAGGATCTTGCTCAAAGACGCAGAGTGGCAGTCTGTGGGAGTGGGGCTTGAACTCAGAACTCCAAGCTCTATGCCCTAACCACTAGGCCCCCACTCCCCCCATGTGTGAATGTTAAATCATCCTTAAAAGGAAAGGTTGACATTACGGCTTTTTAGACATCTGTAGACGAGTCAATCATTATGGACGACATGAAGCATTAGTTCTGATAACCTTCTTTAAACACTTCCATTGCATTTCCCCAAAGTTCCCATTTCTTTCATCACTTGGAGGAGTAGTTAAAAAAAACTTCCCACTGCCTTCATCCTCTTCTTCTTCTCCCAGGAGATGGGAGGATTCTTCATCACTCCAGCTTCTTCTTCATTCATCACCTCCTCCACATTTCCCTCATCTCTCTCTCTTTTCTCTTTTCACATCATCCATCTTTTCTGCCTTTATCACTCCCCCCTCCTCCGACCTCCTCTCTCAGCTGCCCTCCTGTCATTGGATGTACTCGCCAAACACCTCCTTCTTCTGCTCTGCCTCTCTTTTTTTTCTCACTCATGCTTTTCTTCTTTTATTGGAGGGAGAGGTGCACTTTCTCTGACCGGGCAATCTCTCCTCTTTCATGTGCTACTGAACCTGAAATTACTCTAGTAGCAACTGCTAAAAAAATACAAGTTCAACACCATGGGCTGACCACCATGTAGCTGAATCATAAGAGGCCCTCTGCAGTTTTCATTTGATGACAGGCATGTTTTTTTTAGTTTTTAAGGAAATGAAAAAAGGTCTCATTATCCAGTCCATCATTTGTTTCCCTCTCTTTTCAAACTTGTGTTGTGGGAGTAATTATTGCTTCTTTGACAGGTGGTGGGTGGCGTTTTGAAACAAAACTCTTTGGCTCAGGCAAGAAAACGGAGAACAACACTGCTACGTTTGGACCAATTTGCCTTGCTCCATCAGAATTATGCAATCAGATAAAACATAAAAAAAGAAGAGGAAATAAAGAGAGAGAGAAAAAAATGCCGGCAGTTGTCAAGCGGCTATATAGCAGGGATCATACGAACAAGCCGTGCTTTAGCGTGATGGGGAGGGAGAAATGAAATGACTCACAGTACTGCCACTAACACTGCTGGCGATGATTATGATAATTCGTGCGCAGCACTCCACAAGCAGCTTTGTGGAGCGGCATTAATCATCCCAGATTCACTCTCTGACTCGCTACTCTCCCATTTCCAATCATCCTCTTTGTCTCCCTGTCCAACACACCTCTCTGTCTCCCTGTCTTCATCCGCCCCGTCCCCTCTGCTCTCCCTGTCTTGGCTAATCACACACAGGCGGGAAGCTGCTGTTGAATTTTAATATTCATTTATATGGCCAGCCTTTGATGCCCCCTCCCCATCATCCCCACAGTGCGGTGTAAGCACTTCTCTATCTCGTTCTCTGCCAGCGCTGCCAGCCCAGAATATCTCCCTCAGCACCCTGTGCTCTGAGTTTGTGTAGTGACTGTAGATATTACCCTCCAAGGAAGCCACAACAATGCAGCAATACAAGAGGAAACAAAGTATAATGGGGGGTTAGATGAAGAGATGGTCAGGACATAATTTTTTTTTATTACAGTCCATAATAATTGCCATGAAAAGGTCAGTTAGGAATTAATGCATCCAACTAAAAATAAGAAATGTTTAAACAGGCAAAAATCTATAGATGTTTAATACCAGTATGTGATGTCATACAGTGCCTTGTTAAAGTTTTTAAACCAGCTGTTTCTAAACTTTGCCATATCACAGTATGACCACTGCAGAGTTTTTCACTGGCATTTCAGATCATAGACTTAAATAAAGTAGGTGCATATATGATTTAGTTTTGAAAATCTGAGAAGTGTGGTTTGCATTTGGATTCCGCCCCCCTTTTTACTTTATACTGAATTATTTAGGTGTCTCTACCAGCTATTTATTTATTTCTATTGGCAAAATAGCTGTGCTGTAGCCAGACTGGATAAAGAGGGAACAAAAGTGTTACAGTTCACCACAGACTCTGAGCTTAAGTTTCGGACATGAATTGTGGTTTTTTTGGACCTGAAGGAAAACTTGAGGTTGCAGGACACTGATCATTCGGAGTCTAACACTCTTGATCTTGCATTGTAGCCCTGGCCTAATGACGTTGTAGTCCTGCTGGAAGGTCAACCTCCAACCCTGTCTGTTTCATCCTACAACAGGTTTTCCTATAGGATTGCTACTAAAGAAAAACCTTTGCACATCCTGCACATCGTTTCTAACACTACCATGTTTCACTTAAAGAGATGTGCAGTCGTAGCTTACCTAACATTTTGCACATAAGCCCAGAGGTGTCAAACTCATTTTCATATCATGTCACTTCAGCATTCTCTAGTCCCTATGCAGCTGTATAAATGAAACATTTGATTTAAAAATTAAATTTACTAAGAAAAAACTGCTCTTGTATTGAAATCTTACTTTTAAAGTTAAAGAACATTTGAATCTCTTTTATGATATATTCTGTCACTGATTACTGAGGCTATCTTGGTACTGCCCAAAGGTCTTGGTTGTGCTACATTTTATTTAGAGATATCACAATAAATGCATGGCACACTTTTCAGATTTTTCTTTATAAAAAAAATATTTTTTTGTCTCTTTCATTCCGTGCAACAATTATACAATGATTTGGGTTATTTAAAATCCCTTTAAAATGTATTTTGTGTTTGCAGATTGCAGTAATGTTCAAGAGGTGTAAACATTTTAGCAGGGCACTGTAATTTATACTTGTTTATGCATGATGTGTATGAGTCCATGTAGAAACTGCAGCTACATGGGGTGTGTCTACTGTAGTTAACATTGGCCGACAGTCTATATTTAGACTGACACCCTCTATGTTCCCGTGTGCGACCCTCACTTAGAGCTGCAGGCATTCCCATATCTGAGCACAGAGACGGCGCTGCCTCACATAGAGAGACACAGACAGACAGCAATAGTCTCTGCTGCCTTTGCAGTGCAGGTTCTCTAAAAGCAAAAGCATGAGAAAGGGTATGAGGCCAGGGTGGGATTCAGAAGTTAACCTAGTTTGAGTTTGGACCCAAGCAATGAGAACAGGGAACGCTTTCTGAAGTGTAACAATGGAGGAGGGCGAGTTGGTGATCAGCCTCCCAGGGCGATCCAACTCCCCCTTAGGCAGCAGGGGTTCTGGTGCCGGAGGTGGGTTCGGCGAGACGCTGGTGCTGAAGCACAAAGAGGTTCACCACTTCTTCTTTGTCCCCTTCAGGGAGCAGCCCATCTACAGTACGAGGGCCCACGTCTTCCAGATCGACCCCAACACCAAGAAGAACTGGCTGCCCGCAAGCAAGCACGCCGTCACTGTGTCCTACTTCTATGACAGCACGCGTAATGTCTACCGGATCATCAGCCTGGACGGAACCAAGGTGGGCCAACACACCTCAGAGCATTACCAGATACTGTTACTGTAAAAACATGTAGCCTACTCCTGGGTTGATGTCTGGTGTAAACTTCTCACCAGATGCATTTTGTTGACTCTCTGCAATAAACACGAATGCTTAGACACATCATAAACAAGATCCGTTTTGCAGGAAGTTCCAGAACCAGCAGGTTCATAGTGGGGTTAATTTCACCTCTGTTTGTCTGGACTTTAAATCATCTGATTAATGGAATTGAGGACCTTGTTCCTGAGCAGGATGTAATTGAGATAGCTGAGTTTTACTGGAGGAAAATGAAGAAGAGGATGAAGAAATCCCTATGCAGCCAGGTGGACTGCTTTGTCAGAACATTTGATTAGGTCATTTCAAACCAGTGACCAAAAAGGGGCCCTGTTTTTATTTTTATTTTTCTTAACACATAAAGGCACTTTGTGTGTAAATTCGAGCAGATTTTTAGGGTTTGTCTCAATGTTGCATTTTCTTCATTTGTTTTATTTCCAATGATCCTTTGAGACATTTTCCAAAGTTTAATTTGTTTTTCAATTCTGTTGTATTGTTTCCTCCATCTCTGCCTCACATGATTTTGTTTTCTCTGATTTTGTAGCTGTGTTTGGACACTAAAGCTTAACTAGTATTACATGTCAGTGAGAGAATATTGGATCTTGAGCCGTGTGAAAAACACCTTCGTTCGCTGCTATCTGATTCAAACCTCTTTCTTGATGCCAACAGGAATGCCAACTATTACACAACGCTGCCAGTAAGCCAGACAATGCTGGTTTTTATTGGTACTATTCTGTTAAGGCAGGATAATTATCTTAGAAGTAGATGTAATCCACATTTTCTGGATCAAACTGAGGGGGGAAAGCTGAAAATAGGCTTTATGTTTCTGGGTAAACTAAATAAAACTTCAGTTTGATGGATCTTGTTTCTGTTGAATAAAAAAATCATTACACGTCATTAAGGATTTATCCTTTTGATCATTATCCTTATTAATTTTTTTTCTTTAATTTCTACTATTTTTTGTCAGTTTCTTTGTAAATTGAACTTGATCGCTTAATAAATGAATAATTGTAAAAAAAAAAAAAAAAAAAGGGCTTTTATATGGAATGTTTACAGGAAAAGATGTCTGTAAAATTAAAATGATAAAATAGATTTATGCACTGAATAATATGTTGCATCATTCAGTCTGGGTTTGATATATATCAGCGTTTTTATTCATACCTGATCTTTTAAATTCCCCATTTAAAACACTCTATACTGGACACATAACAAGCCACTATTGGACATGCAAAGTGTTGTTTTTTTACAGAATATTTATCTGATGTTAAAATGTTTTCTCATTTTTTTGACTCTGTCAAACATTATTTGTGCCATTAGTGGCTTCAAGCTGGAAATACTTCCTCTCAAATCATCAGCTTAAAAAATGACAGAAAATTATAGGCTGTCTATCACGACTGCCATATTGAAAGGCTTTATTTAGCAGCAACTTTTATCTTCTAAATTTATGGTGTTGCTTAAAAACAGTCAAATTGGTATTCAAAGATGAGAGATATTCTGATAGCCTAGAAACAAAAAATAATGGCTGAAAAGAAATCTTACAATCTAATGCTTGAAACAAAAACTGTTTTGTTTTGACATATTTTAAACAACAATCAGTGTTATAAATAGTGGTTATAAATTACCTTAGAAAAAATAAAAGTTTAATTTTTAAAATGAAACAAAACATTTTTGTCCCTTTACTTGACATTTCTAACAAAAATTCAGATATTTGTGATTCATACATGAGACTTTCAACGTCATGAGCTTATCAAAACCAGTCAGTTTCAGTTTATTTATTGCATTTTGCATTTTTACAAAGAATGCATAAAAGCTTTCAAGCAACACAACTCTTATGGGTTTAGAAGAAAAAACTAACTTTCCTTAAGAGCAAAGCTCCATAAATACTTGTATCAAACTATTCCTTTGGGGTGGTAGGGTGAAGCTTTAACGCCTGTGTGTTTTTACCTGTTGGCAAACTCTGATTGTGCTCATAAATCTATCGAACGGCAGTATATTTGAAACATTTAATGTGATGCGGGCTTTTCATTGCAGGCAATAATCAACAGCACCATCAGTCCGAACATGACGTTCACAAAGACGTCACAGAAGTTTGGCCAGTGGGCGGACAGTCGGGCAAACACTGTCTATGGACTGGGCTTCTCTACCGAGCATCATCTGTCCAAGGTACCACTGTTGAAAAACACATTTTGTTCACCTGTTATTTTAGTCCTTCTTTTGCTGTTGTTGCACTTTTATGTTACACTCTGTAGAGGCAGTTTTCTGTATGCATCTGAGTTTATAGAAGATTTTGAAACACCATCAGCCAGCAGTATGCTTAAGGTTATCACAGGTGTTTCCTGCAAACTACAGGTGCTGGTCATAAAATTAGAATATCATGAAAAAGTAGATTGATTTCAGTAATTCCATTTAAAAAGTGAAACTTGTATATTATATTCATACATTACATACAAACTCATATATTTCAGATGTTTATTTTGTTTAATTTTGATGATTACAAATGACAACAAATGAAAATCTCAAATTCATCATATCAGAAAATTAGAATATTGTGAAAAGGTTCAAAATTGATGGCCCCTGGTGCCACACTCTAATCAGCTAATTAACTCAAACCACCTGCAAAAGCCTTTAAATGGTCTTTCAGTCTAGTTCTATAGGCTACACAATCATGGGGAAGACTGCTGACTTGACAGTTGTCCAAAAGACGACCATCGACACCTTGCACAAGGAGGGCAAGACACAAAAGGTCATCGCTAAAGAGGCTGGCTGTTCACAGAGCTCAGTGTCCAAGCACATTAATAGAGAGGCGAAGGGAAGGAAAAGATGTGGTCGAAAAAAGTGTACAAGCAAGAGAGATAACCGCACCCTGGAGAGGATTGTGAAACAAAACCCCTTCAAAAATGTGGGGGAGATTCACAAAGAGTGGACTGCAGCTGGAGTGAACCACCACACACAGACGTATGAAAGACATGGGTTTCTGCTGTCGCATTCCTTGTGTCAAGCCACTCTTGAACCACAGACAGCGTCAGAAGCGTCTTGCCTGGGCTAAAGAGAAACAGGACTGGACTGCTGGTGAGTGGTCCAAAGTCATGTTCTCTGATGAAAGTAAATTTTGCATTTCCTTTGGAAATCAAGGTCCCAGAGTCTGGAGGAAAAGAAGAGAGGCACTTCATCCACGTTGCTTGAAGTCCAGTGTAAAGTTTCCACAGTCAGTGATGGTTTGGGGTGCCATGTCATCTGCTGGTGTTGGTCCATTGTGTTTTCTGAGGTCCAGGGTCAACGCAGCCACATACCAGGAAGTTTTAGAGCACTTCATGCTTCCTGCAGCTGACCAACTTTTTGGAGATGCAGATTTCATTTTCCAACAGGACTTGGCACCTGCACACAGTGCCAAAGCTACCAGTACCTGGTTGAAGGACCATGGTATCCCTGTTCTTAATTGGCCAGCAAACTCTCCTGACCTTAACCCCATAGAAAATCTATGGGGTATTGTGAAGAAGAAGATGCAATACACCAGACCCAACAATTCAGAAGAGCTAAAAGCCACTATTAGAGCAACCTGGGCTATCATAACACCTGAGCAGTGCCACAGACTGATCGACTCCATGCCACGCCGCATTGCTGCAGTAATACAGGCCAAAGGAGGCCCAACTAAATACTGAGTGCTGTACATGCTCATACTTTTCATGTTCATACTTTTCAGTTGGCCAACATTTCTATAAATCCTTTGTTTTTATTGGTCTTCAGTAATATTCTAATTTTCTGATATGATGAATTTGAGATTTTCATTTGTTGTCATTTGTAATCATCAAAATTAAACAAAATAAACATCTGAAATATATGAGTTTGTATGTAATGTATGAATATAATATACAAGTTTCACTTTTTAAATGGAATTACTGAAATCAATCTACTTTTTCATGATATTCTAATTTTATGACCAGCACCTGTATATAATATACTTACAATCAATGGTATGAATATCAGCTGAGATGGTCCTTTCTACTGCTTGTAGTGTTATTAACTCATGGAGAAACATGTTGGAGGAAGCACCATGCTGCAAAAATGCTCTTCCTATGATTAAAAGTTAAGGGAACTGCTTATTGGCAAAGATACCAGTGAGAGAAAACAAATCTGGAAATAGCATCAAGACTCTAACTATGTTTAATATAAGGCTTATAGAAAAGAATTAGTTGGTAAATGCTTATGTTATTAAATGTGAATAACTCTTAAGGTGTCTTCTGTTTGAGCAAGTCGAGATTAGTTAATCCTGAAGGTTAAAGCTTAAGTCCAAGATGACCCAAGACTAAAGTGAATATACCATCTTAAAAGTATTTCAATCTCTAAAAGGTCATAAGCGTTTATGCAAAAGAAATGTTATAAAGCAATATATTTTTATTGTGTTTAGATTAGCTGGTTAATTCTACAAGAGCAGATCGTTATTTAACGAGAAATAGGCTGCGTCCGAATGTCCGCCCTAATCGCTATATAGGGCACTATAGAGATGACGCATTTTAAATGAGCGTCCGAACATCTAGTGGCTGAAAAAGTAGTGGACCTCGGAATTTCCCACAATGCACCTTGAAAGGTAGTGATCATCAATGGTCACTCGACGAGTAGATATGTCCCTGAATGTTTTGTGAGAGCTCTCCTCGCTATGCATCATGGGATTTGTTTTCACAGAGGCCCGCTGTCGCTAACGGACTATGGTTCACTATAAAGTCCACTATATAGTCCCCACTCTACAGTATATAGTTATTGAGATATTTAGGGGTTAGGGTGGACGTACAGACACAGCAATAAAGTTTGGAGGCAGGGTGCCAGCAATGACCTCCCCATGGGAAAAAAATAAACTGAAATGAATGTAACTTTCCTTATTCAAAGTAAGTGAACATTATTAAACTTTAAATGTCATTTCTATCATGATAATTTTTTCTTTTTTATAAATATACTTTAAATCAGTGAAACTCTGACTGGAATTGCTTATATGTTCCATTTTTGGTATCTGTTTCACTCAGGAGGAAAAGTGAGGGAGCGCTCTCAAGACAGAAATATTAGAAAATGAATTTTTAAATCAACCCTGATGGAATCTATATTTATGTAATTAAAAATCAAACATAAAATTGAAAATGAATTCCTTTGTTTTAAAAGTCAGTGTTATCATATTGAGTCTATTTTCATTTTAGTTTGATAATTCTGTTTCTCTGTGTCAACAAACCTGGTCATTCAGCCACACAGTAATCAAACCCAATTCACAAATTGATAGTTAATGTTAGGTTTGATTTACTTTATGGCATTTTAAGCAGCAGCAGGGTAGCATACATGAGCTCACTAGATATCATAACCATGTCAAATGATCAGTTATAAGAAATGTCATGTAAAAGAAAAAGAAAGAGATGTGGTTGTACTAACTGTCCAGCTACAGTAGCTAAAAACGCAGTGTTCTGCTGGCGTTACGTCGCTCCGTGTTTCTCCATTATACGCTTCCTATGGTGAATGGATGAACATCTACCATGCTTATTTACCCTGCAGTGTTTCAGCTCAAAATCTGGTTAAAAAATCATTTTAACCTGATGTCACATGTCAGTCTGAGTTTTCTAACTAAAGTTAACTAAAATATGAGGTTTTAAAACCAGTAAATTCAGTTTCAGTTTACTTAAATACATTTTGAATTTTTTGAAGTTTCCACCCATACACTCTTTCCTGTCCTTCATTCTGGCTGTTTATCAGCTGCAGTTTAATTAAACAATACATATGTTATATGGCCTAAATGGTCACTGAAATATAAATTATGTGAAACTTTTAATAATAAAGCTATTTTAAGATAGTGGATCTTCCCTTTGGTCTTTAGCTTAAACCAGTGCCAACTAATCTGAATTTGTATTAAACATAGACATCACAGTTTTCTACAGTAGTTATAAGTTTAACACCTTCTTTAAACAAAAAATGTATTGATAAAAGAGAACCCCAATATTTATTTATTAGGTTATTTATTAGTTTTATTACTGTGCATGTTTTTATGTATTTTAACTTTTCCTTTGCAGAGCTTTCCAAAGCAAAAAATGAATTGTCAATTTGGAAATTGTCAAAAGTCAATTGTTCTTAAAATAGGTGAATTTTTTCTTGAATTGAGCAGGTACCTGAGATGCTTGGCCAATGGAATGAGACAGTTTACATTTAAAATAAGTAATAAAAACAACTGTATAGGTGCATAATATCTAATTATCTTAAAGGTAAAAATACTCAGAAACAGATCCTCTTTTTGTCTGCACAAATTAAAGATAAATACTTTTATTTTAACAATTATTGTGCAGTGTGAGATCTGTTTTTACAAATGCAAAGTGCTTTATATATAAAATGCATTATTATTATTATTTTAACAAAACTCGGTTTAAACTAGATATTGAGCTACACCCTTAAATATTTTTTCTTTAATTTTTATTTTATGTTATTTTAATAAAGGACTTGGAAATAACTGAAGATGCCATACATAGCAGTTTCCTGCTTGCTGTCCTGAGCTCAGAAGAAACTGTTATGTAATTATTGAGTGCAGAGAAAACCATCTTCAAAAAGAAAGCTGTTAAACCTCAATGTGACCTTGTAAATGCATGATGTGTTCTCAGGTGTTTTTTATTATCTGTTATATTACGATAAAAATAACTTACTTTTTCGTTCTTAAAGTGAAATTGTAAGCATAGTTACACACATCAAAGAAAAGTAGAAAATAAATGTCTTTAATCTGTGAACTTGTCCGGATACTGACAAAAGTAATCAATACAGAATTACCTGGAATTTGTCTGAGAGGGTCAGTAGGCAGGCTGGCAGCCTGTTAGAAAGCATTTACTCTGAATCAAAGTTTTAAGAAGCAGCTTTAGTTCTCAGATGTCTGCAGAAAAACGTCTCAGAAGCACTTAGATCTGCATTTAGATGATGTAGAACAACTCTTATGTTGCATCGAAGTGAAATGATATCAGGTTTTTCTTTTGTAACTGGGCTAATGGCCGGCGCAGAAACGGCTTCAGTGGAGTCTTCAATTTGATTTTCTTCTCACCACCAGAGGTGTCAAGTAACAAAGTACAAATATTTCATTACCTTACTTAAGTAGAAATTTTGTCTATTTATACTTTACTGGAGTAATTGTTTTTTAGACCACTTTTTACTTCTACTCCTTACTTTTTCTTTGTTATGGCCTGTTGGTAATAAAAAACAAAACAAACAAACAAAAAAACATGAAAATAATTGATTTCATCCAGACGATACATTTCTTTGTGGTTGGACTCGGTTCTGTACCAACTTGTTGTTCACCACATACCAAAATAAATACTTGTAAACAGTAAATAGTCAAGGTGATGCAAAGTTAAATTTAGCACTGTTACCATTAGTTAGAAAAATAAGAAAATTAAGTATAAGGAAGTTATCATCCAGAATTGTAAAAAAGTGTGCCTTTAATAGGGGAGTGCAGTTACCATAAGGTTTAAGGTATCCGTCCTTAACACTTTTTCCTGCTTTACTTTTGCTTTTTTATTTTAAGAACTTTAAAAATGTTATTTTTACACTTTTACATGAGTTAAAAACTAAAGTTGATACTCTAACTTCCACAAAAGTGATTTATACTTCTACTTGAGTAATAAACATGAATGCTTTTGACACCTCTGCTCAGCACCCAACTTGCTGCTCTAATGTGTACTTAATCACTGTGGAAGCAGTGTGAGATTAAACTTTTTGTCTTTTTGCACAGTGTGTTTTTTGGGTGTTTTGGGGGTAGCAAGCCACCTAACTGAGGTCAGGTCTTTGGGTCAGGTGGTGTGTGAAGACAAATAAAACCCCTGACAGATCAACATTAATCAGCCTACTGCATAAAATCTCAAAGGCAGACTAAGGGATCACTGCGGGAATAATGGATGGCTGTGGATATTGGTTCAGCTTTGATTATTACTGGAAGCAGCTTTTCCGTATCCTCTAAATCTGACCTATTAGATGCTGCTGACCCCCCCTCTTCCTATGCACAGCTTTACTGATCAGATTAAACCAGAGTGCAGGTTTTATAGCCCACTCTAATGGCTGTCTGGTTTGTTTAGTTTGCAGAGAAGTTTGCAGAGTACAAAGAAGCAGCACGGCTTGCTAAGGAGAAGAGCCAGGAGAAGATGGAGATGGCCACGTCTCCTTCTCAAGTAAGTTCGGCACATGCTATTCACCAGGCACCCTCCCAGCTCATTTCAGCCAATGTAAATAATGCTTGATGGATAATTCAGACGGGTGAACTCGGAAACCAAGACTTCTGAAATAAACTATTGTACAAAGTATTGGTAAAAAAAAAAGGCTTACTCAATTTAGATAAAAGCAATAATATTGTTTCTAAAACACAATTCAGCTACAAGCCCTGCTCTTCACAGCTGTTTGTACTGTGTCTGGAAAAGTCTGGAATTTGATTTGATAATTTTCCATTTTCTGGATAAGTTTAGAAACCTTAAAAATGCACATTGTAAATTTGAATCAACATACTCTTAATTCCTTCATTTAAAAGAGGAAGATCTGAATTTCTGAAAATCTGCATGTTTCATGTTTGGTTTCTTTTTTAGGTGGTTTCCCCTCTTTTTTTTCTTCTTTGGGTTCAAACATCATATCTTACATTTTTTTTAACCAGTTTATACTTTCTCAAAGCCAATAGAAACTGCCTGATCACTAATTTTTTTTTTACCTTCTAGATGTTTTTACTTTCTGTAGTTAACCCTAGACCTGGATTTAGATTCAACATAAGACATTTCTATTTTGGAAATTAAATAATCCTTTTCTATAGAGCAGAGCTTGAAGTTAGCCAGTTTGTTGTTTTCTCCCAAATGGGGGAATACTTCACACTCAAAAGGCTCTAATCAAACAAAATCCTATGGAATAAAATTCCAGTAAACACATCAAAGAAACAACATTTTAAGGAAAGTAGAGCTCCCTTCAATAATTATAGTTGGGAATGTAACCTGTGTTCATTTTGTCTCAGACGTAGAAGATGGCTTTGGCTTAGCTTGTTTAATTCACTAATAAAACATATTAGGGTTTTAACTTGTGTTGGTAAGTTGGTGGTATGAGGTGATAACTTATTTCTCACCACATTTCTTATTCAAACAGTTTGAAAAACATTTACCTCTGTTAAACTCATTAAAGTTATGCGGTACAATGTGTGCTACTGGTTTAAACATCCATCATTGTTTTTGCTCTATGTGCTCAGAGACCCTATTGGAGAATGAACTCGGGGTCACCTTTAACTTAACGGGCCATTCTTGTTTTATTTCCGTCTGCAAACCTAGAAACTCAAGCATTTGATTGCGCATCGAAGCACTTTTAAGTTTTTCTGGTAGGGAAATTGAATCCATTAATGCATTAAGTATGAAGGATAAGTAGTTTCAACCTTTTTTGTCATGTTTTGAAATGATCATTTCTTATGCAGGTTTACATGGAAAGCAGAAATATGATGTGAGGCCTTCCTGAAAATATGAAAAGATAACATTTTAAGTATAAATCTGCATAGTTTATGAAAATATATTAAATGAGGAAGTAGTTTATACTTAATTCAATAAGTTCATAATTTACTTTAGATTTTATTATACAACAGTTATTGATCACCTCTCTGCATAATAACCTAAAGCTTTAAAAGCAATGCTGGGGATTAAGTCTACTTACACTGAAGAACAGAATTTACTTTATATAAGGTGTTAGTCTATATAGGAAGTACAGCAACAACACACTTAAGGGGATGTTCAGCCGTGTATGTAAGAGAAAATTAACTTGTTTCAAGACGAGGGAATCCCCAGAGAAATGTGGGGTTTAATCTAAAGGCCATTACCCGGCTTCATATCCTCATCTCTTCAATACGGAGCCAGGGTTGAAAGTCCCACGCTGTGGTGCAGTCTCTGCTCCCCGCATGTCTTTTAATGAGGCAAAGAGGACAGCTTCGCTCTCACCAGGAACTGAGAGCTGCATGTGCCACACGACACGGCAGTGTTGAAAGTCAGAGACAGGCCGTAACTGTGAAGCCTGCAGAACTGCTGATCCAAGCCTGCAGAGGTCTGTTTAAGCTTCTCCATCATAGGGAGTCAGAGCTTCACCCACGGGCCAGCTGGCATTTCCATCATCTTCTTTTCTCCTCTCTGAATCAACTTAAAGCTAACAGAGACATTATTCCAATAAAACAAGAGGAGACTCTGACCCAAACCCATGCTGGCCACAACAGGCTCAGCCCCAGTGGAAACACATCATAAACCCATATTTTATTAAATGTTAATGAACTTGGAGCGCAGAATGTAAAACCCACCATAATCTGCCTCTTATCTCTCTCTGCCTTCTTGGCCATCAGAGGCGTTTGGTTCTGTGTCATTGTGTTGCTGTATTGAGCTCCAGCCCAGAGACCTAATGGCTTTGTTTTATGTGAGTGCAGCAACTAAATGATTTGTCTCTCATATAAGTCTGTGCTTGTATGGGATATAAAGATAAGAATTAATCTGTACTTCTATAATTTCCCCGCGCTAAAGCAAGCTAGTATAATCACCCATGGAAATGAGGAATTGTTCAATAAGATGGGCAACATTTGTTGCACCAAATTTGTTGGAGCTTAAATGACTTTCTCAACGGCAACCCATCCAGTTCTGCCTTTTAACATCTTTGCTTACAGGTTTCCTATAGTGGTTGCTTCCAGTTAAGAGCAGGAATACATCAAGGTCAGTTTTAGATTGAAGCGAAAGGCCATGTTGCAATTGTGTCAGTGCAGTGAATCAGTTAAATGGTTACTATAAATGATGACAGCTTTACTGGATTCCTAGTGATGAGATATTAGTGCATTTAAATACTCTCCTTTTTAAAATTTTTATGATTATACAATATATACATTTAACTGATTTGGGTCGGAAGAATTTGGTGCTGAATGGGTGAAATACTCATGTTTGGATAAATGTCTATTATCAAGCTGCAAAGCAACCAAAAGAGAGCCTTCGACCAGATGCTAGATATTAGTTGTCGGTTTAAATTGAGTGGTTCCCTGGTTGCTTTGCTTCCCTAATCCTAAAACCAGTACCAACTGTTGACATCAGTCGGCTGTTAGAGCACCTATTAGTGTCACAGTTTGAATCTGACTGTTAATTTGTGATCAAGCAGAAGCTAATCCCAGCTATTTAGTTATCTCTGCTTTTTTAGTGGAGCATAAAAGATTCAATTTCAGAGCTGGAACTTCTTTGTTACTCTATATCTTCTAAGTTTAAGATGAACTATAGCTTGCTGTTGTGGAAACTCACAGTGGTATCTAGTAGCTTTTTTAAACACCCTTTTTTATAAGCTTTCAAGGTTAATTGGTTGTCCTTTAACATCCTAACCAATTAGGACAATTTGTGTCACATGGTTAATGAATAAAACATGCTGTTTCGTAATTTAATCGTAGATATCTGAAATGTGTATTTCAGATAGTCAGTAATTAATTCTAGATATCTTAAATTGACGTCTCCATACAAGTTAATGGTAAATCTGACGTCATTTTGACTTGTCAGAATGTAATTAGAGATATATCCCAAATAGGTATTTTGACTAGTCAAAATATAATTAGACATATCTTAAATCTCTAAAACGTCTAGTCATAAAACAATTTGAGATATCTTGAATGTAAAGGCGGTACAACCAAATTTATGTTAAAACGGCTTGCCACAACTGTTTCAACACCATTATACTCATTTACACAATGTATATCTGATTTTATATTTATTATTTCAAATTAGCATAAACGACTCATTCAAAGTTATCTAATTATTGTGTAAATTCATTAATGTTTTTTTTGTATCCCAATTCTATGATTATTTTTTTATATTTTCTTTTTGCTTTAGTTAGTTGGTCTTCTTTGAAACGAGTTAATCAGTTGGAAGGATAATATTCAATTCAGTACTTAATTTTTAGCTGTCTTAAAAAAAACATTTCCTTAAAGCTTAGGGTAATTTCTAAAAAATAGAAATTTTGTCCTTAAGATGCATTGTTGCCTAAATATGACAATATAAATGACGGGTTTTCTTGTTTTAACAAATTATTTCTTAGCACAAAGATGAAATCATGCAGTTATCGTTGCTGTCTTCATAGATTCATGCCGATAGTAATGTAAAACGTTCTCTTACCTGCAGGAGTCTCCGGCGGGTGAGCTGTCCTCCCCTCTGACCCCTTTGACTCCCCCCATGGAAAACATCAACGGCACGGATGAGATCTGTGACACCACCCCCAACTCAGAGAGCCGTCCGGAGCCAGCGCAGAGCGCTCTAGCTTTTGCACACAGGTATATCCCACATTGTTCACCGCCAAACGATTAACCCAGGATCACTTTAATTACTTCACCCAAGCAATGATGGATGTGAGTTTTTGCCTGCTTGTCTGTCATCTGCGGTACAGATGTGCAAGCTACTCTTCCCTCTCTGTCTCTCTTTGTGTCTGCGTTCACCTTTATATCCGTTCCTTGTGGGCACAGAAGAGTGAACTCCCTTTATTCACCGCTGCTTTCTCGTGTTTTTCCTCTTTAGGGAGCAGCTTAAGACTTGTCGGGTCTGCTCTTTCTGATAGTCCTGACTGCTGCGACACCGTGACTTCTCTAAACAAAAAAACACAACATTTTTAGATGTAATGTTTGGTTAAAATAAGAGCCTGGCTCCAGGTTTGCAGATGGGTGGGGGTTGTTTTTAAAAATGTGATGCACTGAATATTTACTAATTAGAAGGAATAATAAAATACTGAACATCCTGTGAGAAGCGATTGGAAAAAAAAACTTTTTTTTTTACTGGAATTAAAGCATTTAAAGTCTGTTCAATTGTTCAAACCAGCAAGACATGTAACATAGATTGTTACTCAGGACTGATGAACCATTATCCACTTTTTTTTCTTTTCCACACTGAGCATGCTCTGTAGGAACCCTCATACATATTTCTAGTTTCAGAGGGTTGTAAATGTAGGTATGTGCCCTTGAACCTGTTTCATATTTTATCTAGTTACAACAACAGGCTTCAATGTGTTTTATGAAGACTTTTTGTAGCAAACCATCACAATGTCAAGTGGAAGGAAAATTAGGTATGGTTTTTAAAGTTTTTCTGAATAAAAATGTCAAAAGTGTGGTGTGCAGTTTGTATTCCAGAACATTTAAAAAAACATTTGCTGCAATTGGACTATCTGCAGCTTAGAACATGTAGGGACTGAGATTTTCACCCATTTTATTTTGACAACAGGTTACCTAACTTCTTTAAGTCTTGCTGCCAATTATAAATTGTAGTTAGTCTTGCATGTTGAATTCTTTATCTAAACTGTTCCTTTATAGCTCTGGATGTATGTTTGGTGTTCCCATCCTGCTGGACTCTGCTTTAGTATGCATTACTTTAAGCTCTAAATAAGTTGCAGCACTGCCCTGTTCAGTCACATCCATCTTTGCATCAACCTTAATTAGCTCTGTGTCCCTGCTGAAGTATCCTACAGTATAATAACAGGCATTCAGAGTGATGTGTTGTTGGTTTTCCACTAAACTTACCTTTTTCTTGTTAGCAAAAGGTTCAGATTTGGACTCATCTGACCAATGCACCTTTTTTTCAGATGTTCACTGTGTCGCTTACTTGACTTGTTACAAAAAAACAAACAAGAACTTTTTACACTCTTCTTACAACAACTTCTACCTTCTGGCAAACTTTCTTTTCGAAAGCCAGATTTGTGAATTGCAGAACTGAATGTGTTCCAATGAACAGCATCTCTGCAGCTCCTCCAGAGTTACAATAGGCCATCCTGTGCTCCCCTTATCAGGTCTCTTAGTTTAGTTGGATGACCGTTTATTGAAAAGTTTTGTAATCCTATGAAATAATTAATGCAGTGTCCTAATAAGGTGATCTCTGAAGAAAAATGTTGGCAGTTGAACTTTTTCAGGGGTATCTTATTGATTGTGCCAGCTGAAAACATTTGCATATAAAGGTTTTCAAGCTTTTAGTAGAAATAAGTTGTCAAATTTCCACTTCACATTTATGTGCCCGTCTTTTGTTGGTCTATAGCATTGATAATATTGATTCTAATGTGACAAACTGTGACAAAATGTCAAGGCGTAAGGCTGTGCATGCATATATGTATGCCTACTGCAGTGCAATAAAATAAAATGCAAATATTTTTTATCCGAGTGGGTGTTGGTGGGACACCTATGCATGCACAGTTACTGCTGTACACATTCCTCTTTGTGTCCTCTTAACAAACCGAAATCTAAAATGTGATATTTTTTTTTTTTCTTTTTTGGAAGAAAAAAAACAACGAAAACCTTCGCTGATGTGTCCCTGTCTCTGTAAGACATCACAGACTTTGTTGTGTAAAATGACTCCAAAAGGTACGGCTGTGAGGTTCAGCGCCAAAAATGTGTCGATGAATTGTTTATGTAAGAGTTATATAACATGATGTGGGTAGTGGGAGGAATGGAAAGAGCAACACACACACACACACATACCGTGTGTGTCAGAGAGGATCGTGCTTTGTATAAAGTCTGTACATGAGTCACCGATACCTAAATGTCCAGCATCAGCACACAGTGCATCGCTGAAGTAAATAAAGTGGAGAGAGACGGAAAGATAGAGAGAGAGGAGCTGAGTTTAAGTTTTTTAAAAGTGTAAAGTCTTCTTTTGTAGTGAAATGTACATGGGCTTTTCCCTTTGTGAAATATCTGTAACTTGTGCCACTTCTGTTGTTATCTGTAGCTGAGATTCCTTTTAATTAAAGATGTCAATTCCTGACTTAAAAGATGATTGTTCTGGTGTTTGAGTGAAGAAGTTTAGTGTGTTTTTAAATACAGCTCTGGTCAGAGGTTTACATACACTCCTTACGGGCATGAATATCATCAATTTAAGGTCCTAAATGATGCATTTGAACCATTTCCTTTTTTCACTATAGGATTGTACATTAAATAATTTGTCGAAAAAGTTTGGATTTTATTTGTGGGATTTTATTTTAACTACACAAGGTCAAATTTGATCATAATGGTTTATATAAATAAACTCCTACTGGTGAATTCCCCTTTATTATCACTGATCAAGCTATATCCATAATGCTGGCTGGATGTGTGACCATTAATCTAGGCAGGAAAGCAGATTTGATCAAAATTGTTCAGTTTTCGGGAATAAGGAAGACTTTTTATCAAAGCCCAAACACTTTGAGTTTGATGGGTTTGGGCCTTTCCAGAAAAGTACCAACTCCAATACCAATTTTGATGGTTGTTTAAAATCATAGTGCTGCTGAAATATCCAGTTATGGTCAGGGTTAAGTCATCAACCTCTTTATTTTAGACTAAAATTAAGATTTGGCAACAATACTTCTTCAGCTCTCAGCATGATGCTGCTAACACTATGCTTTCCAGTTCAAAAGCCTCACCTTCATTCATAAATACCTTAAACATAATTGTTATTGTTGCCAAATATCTCAGTTTTGTCTCAATAAAGTTTTTTTCTCCACAAGGCAAATGTTTTTGTTACATGGTCAGCGGCCTCTCAGTCCACATTGATATGAAACCCTCTACAGAGTAGATGATGACGATTGTGTTGTTTCCAGGTCTAGCTCTGTTGGTTTCTGGGGTTTTCCATTAGATTTTAATCAATTTCTTGGTAGTTTGGATCAGATGGTTTAACCATATTCACAGCTTAGAGTTCCCAAAAACACTAATGCTAAACAATCTGTGCTGTGAAACTGATAAATCAAGAATGAGTGAGATATTAGAAGGGCATTCCCGGTAGACAAAACTCAACTCTGTTTAAGATGTGTGGATTATGTATATAGTTTGAATTTGAGGCAGAGAGCCAAAACATTGAAATTTACCAGCTCTAGAAAGATAAGTGGTCAAATATCCAGCCAGAACTGTGGTAGAAGCTTTTCAATGCCACAACAAATCCTGTGGTGTTCCTATAACTCGCTAAGGGACATGTTTTTACAGTATGAGGCTGTATGTATATATTTGAGCCTGTATGTATAACTGTGACCTTGTGGGAATGAAAGAAAAATGGCAGATTCTGGCTTTTGAAACTGATTTTAGTTGTTTGCTCTATCTCCTCTGACACTGTTGATAAGGAATGCTTTAAATGCATCATTAGAGTCCAAACAGCATGACACTCACACCCGCAGTGAGACTACGTAAAGCCCTGACTGTAACTGTAAGAAATCATCAACATTCAGAGATCAGATTTATGGGTATTGTTGAAGGAGTTAGGAGTACCCTACTATTACATGAGGCTGCACAGATCAGTGCAGTGAGAGAGAGGGATATGTGGAGAGGACACCCACTGCCTGCTGTAGCCTTGCTGCTGTTTCTATAAATGCTGCATGCGTGGGAGATGAGGTCGACTCTGCAAGTGTGCACGTAACGAGCGAACCTCACTCACATTTTCTCAAATATGTAGCTAAAATGAATGTAAGAACTATCAAGACATACTGCTTTTTTATGTCTCTGACTCACATCGACCCACATTCACCAGAACATGAAGAAGGTTCATCACATGTGGTTCTAGTGTTCAAACATGTATGGAATGTGTTTTGAATGTATGCCTTTATATGGCAAAGATGCAGGTGTTTGCTGTATTAGTATCATTTTCTTGTGTGTGTGATCCGGACCTCTTGAGTAGTTTAAGCACATCTAGAGTTGGATTTCTGCCTGTCTCCGTAGGATGCACAGTGCACTGTGTGGGCAGGTATGTGTGGGCGTCTGGAAAAAGATGAAGAAAGAAGTGGATGGAAGACGAGTTTCTTAAATCAGGATGTAGGCGTGTTTGGCAAATCTTCACTGGAGTAGTTTTGAATGGTTTTATTGATATCATAGGACCTTTGGTTTTCGGACTTCCTTGGTTGTATTTGAATGGTCCTCTTGTGTTGGAGGATGTAGGCGTCAGGCTGTGGGTTTGAGAGAAGGAGACCGCTGCGACGTCTCCTCCATTCCTCCGCTGCTGCCATGGCAACTGCTGTGTCTCGTTGTTTTTCCTTTTTTTTTTTTTTTTTTCTTGAATTGCTGTGTGGGGAGGGAAGACCTACCTGATTGCCAGCAGTTGTCAGGGCACTTGGGAGCGCTACAGAATAGGCTACACTTTTTTCTTCATCATTTCATTAGGAGTGAGAGGAATTACAACCTCTTAGATGTTTTTATGCAGTAAAACACAAAACAGAGGGTTAATTGTTTATTAAAAGCTTATGATATACTGGTAATATACGTACAAGCAGGCAAAAAAATACATTCAGAAGTGAGAAAAGGCATAAAGCATAACTTTTTTGAAAAGTGAAATGTACATTTGAAGAAATAATAAATTGATACAGAAACTTTGAAATCATAAAGGCTATAAAATGGTTTTATTCATTTAAAAAGTTGTACAAAAGCAGAAAGACAAATAACATGCAACCTGTTTAACGGCAAGTTTTGCTATAGAGAAAAACTGACAATAACATTGATTGTCTCTCTAATAATAAATGGATCCATTTTCACTCAGTAAATCAATAGCATAGCAGCTTCCAACTTACCCACCATGTGTCTCAGTCTTCAGCCAGAACTGGTCTCAGGTGACCCCCCAACCCACCCACCACCAGCCTAAAACCTTTTCAGACTCTAATAAAGCATCTCAGCATCTTATCCTTCATCTCTGCTCCCTCCGTCTGTCTCCATCTCCACATCTTGACGTCTTGCCTGCTCTCTGCTTCTCCGAGCTGCTGTGTGAGGTTTATACATTGGCGGGAGCAGTGACAGCGCCGCAGCGTCCGTGTGAGCGAGCTGTAGTGCGTGTGTACGTACGGCTGAGTGTCAGTTTTGTATGTGCATGTGTAGGATGAGGTGTCGTCTCCCTGTATGCGTCACACATGCAGACACGCTTGCAGAGGGGGGTGGATGTTGCATAAGGACTGAAGGCGAGCTGTAGGAGTTCAGAGGGAATTATATCATGGTTTTCTCCATCTTTCACACCTCGCAGAGTAAGTGTTGTGGCTCAGAGGAGGGCTGCTGCAGTGTGTGAGGATATACAGTGAGGGAGTGTGTGTGTGAGGGAAAGAATGGAGCGTAACTGAGATTATAGCCGCCTCCATCTGTCTTGGAGTCTGTTTTTTCTTTTCATACTACAGTCAGTCATGGATTACTTTAAAAACTTTGTGCTTTGTAGTTTCTCCTGGAAAGAGCAGTCATTTATGAGAAAATTTTACTCTGCCATTAAAATTCAAAATCTGCATTGATTTGAATACGTTTGGAAGAAATTGGACTAGTGTTATATTTAGGGCTGCAACTAATGATTATTTTGCACATCAATTTATCTCTTGATAATTTTTTCGGTTAATAATCCAATAGCAAAACGTTCCTTAAAGAACATTTTTACGAAATCACACCAGGTGAAACTAAAACTTTTCCTGAGTCCTGGATAGAGAATATAGCTCTGTCAGCTAAAGGCTTGTTTTAGAGTCTCTACACTCTAGTTAAAGATTCATCAATTACTAAATTAGTTTACGATTATTTCAATAGTCGATCAGTCATGATTAATCTGATCCATTGTTTCAACCCTAGTTATTTATTTTTGCTTTATGAGCAATAATCTTCAAGAGGAATGTTTTTGCTGGTTTTAAAAATACACTCGTACTCTCTTCTTCCGCTTCATCGGGAACTGAATCATAGGTGCTTCATCCTCAACATACTCCAGGAAGCTTTTTCAATTCAAAATGTCAGGAATAGCGTTGAGTTTGTGGTTTTATACAGTAGCCCAACAAAGTCCTGTTCGTCTGTCTATTCAGCCAGTCTGACAATCCCCTTTAACGACCAACCTTTCAGACACTTAGATGGGTATGGGGTATTGCAGTCTAACAAAAGAGGCCAAAATGTTTTCAAAACAAAAACAAGGCTTTGTTGGGCTAGTGTATAAAACCTTGAACTCAACGCTATTCCTGATATTCTGAATTGAAAAAGCTTCCTAGATGGGAAGAGAAATGTCTTCAAACTCGGAAACCAAGTCCAGTGCATTGTTTTTCATTTTTTTGGAATCAAATAGATATTTTCTTGTAGTCCTTTCCTTACAGCACACCTTATGGTGGGTTTTCTTCAATTTCCTATTCTAAAAAATCTCTAAAGTCAAATTTTTCCAGCCTTCGAAAGAGGAAAGATGTAAACAACTAATGAGATAATAGTACTATTGAATTAAATTGCTGTAGTTAAAATTATTGTATTCACATGTGCCAGTAATAGTAAATTTCTATTAATTAATCAACTCTTTACCAGAGATTCTTCTCACTGCTACTGAATATACTTTAATGATGGACTTCTTTTCTGCTCAGTTGTTCTGGGTGAGATTATACCATAATATATAGAGATATGGATTCGGTTTGGACAGATCATTTGCATTATGTCAAATTATGTGAGATTCAGTCTTTTTGGTATACTTTGCTTTTTTCTACCTTTTGGCCTAGTTTTTATTTTGTACGGCAACATTTCTAATCATTTTGACCATGCAGCTGTTCATATATAATTCCTTTATAATCATCTGTATATTAAATAAAGTAACATGTGATGTTCTTCCCATGCTTACTAGACATATTACTGTAATACTATAAGCATTAACATCAAATTTAACTCTTGACTGCACCATACTGGGGTATTTAACTAGACGTACGTTATATTTACTTGCCTGAAATTATCATGATCAATGATCAGTTCGTCTATGAAAAGAAGGAGACTCCAAAACATCTAGCAAAATAACATCACACCACTCGTGAGGTCCAGGGGAAAATTTTGCATTTAGTTACCAAAAGTAACAAGTTACCAAAAGATTCATCCTATCTGACTTAAAGTTTGGTTTGTAAACAGCTTTAAAGTGCCTTTATGATCGGAATGCTGCTGCAAATAACTTTTGCCCACAATAATTTTTTTATTAATGAACCTAAAGAATAGACTAAGCATATTGTGTCTATGGCTCTGCAGCCGTTTATCACCTGCAATGCTTTGCTTACATCCACAGGCTCCCAAATGTTGTCCATTTTAAAAACACACAAACTGTACATGTCTGTGTTCTTCAGCCCGGCCATGACAAAACACTGGGAGGCTGAGCTGGAGGCGCTGAAGGGGAACAACGCCAAGCTAACTACGGCTCTGCTGGAATCCACGGCCAACGTCAAACAGTGGAAACAGCAACTGGCTGCCTATCAAGAGGAAGCAGAGAGACTACACAAACGGGTGAGCAAAGGGAGCGCAAGGAGAGCTTGTTTGTTTTCATGTGTGATTAAATCATTTCTGATCAAATGGGAGCACTCATTTGCGAGGGACGCTTTGAAGGGAGGATGAATGAAAGAAACAGATGAGTGGATGGGAGAGTAAATAAAAGGCAGACTGGGAGACAGGCTGAGATCAGGAGCTTTGTGACTAAATCAAGATATATGTCATGTTTCTGCAGGTGACAGAGCTTGAGTGCCAAAGCAACCAAACCCCAGTGATCAAATCCCAAAAGACTGAGCTCAACCAAACCATAGAGGAGCTAGAGAATGCGCTGCGGGATAAAGAAGAGGTTTGTTTGGAGAGTAAAGGAGGGAAATATCTAAAAAGAAAATTGGAAAATGACTAAAAGTTTCTTAAAACAATTGTATTTACCATTAATTTGAGCAGGAAAATAAAATGATCTGCCGATGGAATGAGCATATTTACCCTTGAAATAAGATAAGATAATATGAACTTGAAATAAGAGACTTCAGGTGTTTTATTCTTATTTTATATGTAAATTGTCTTATTCAACTGGCAAAGTGTCTCACTTACCTGCTCAATTTAAGAAAAATGCACTTAATTTAAGTAAAAAATTACTTAGATTTGCATTTTTTGCAGTTGAAGTATTGCAGCGCTCGCCTTCTGTTACCTTATACAACCATAAAACTGTCTGTCATCCTTCAGGAAATGGAGAAGCTGAAAGAAGAACTGGAAAACATGAATGACCTGATGGAGCAGAAAGACACTCTGACTCAGAAGCTTGAGGTAAAGCTGTCGTTCTTCTACCTTTCAAAACAATTAGCATTAGAAAGGGGGGGGGTAATACTAGGCAGTTGCCTAGGGCCCCAAGTTCCTGGGGACCACATAAAAATCTGTTTACATGTATGGTGGATACAACTATTCCTTATTGGTGCATATTATGTTTTTGATAAAAAATCCTTTCACTAAAATGCCATCAGAACGCTTATATTATAATATTAAGTTTGTCTCATACAAAACATAGAGAGCAAAACAACAAGAAAATAGGACATGAAGAGAGGGACAAAACGTAGAACAAAAAAATGAATGTCTATCCTATTAAAATTTCTGTATCTATAATGTGTCTGTTTTAGGTGTTGTCCTCTCAATTCAGACGGCCCCCTACCTGTCTTTGCCTAGGGCCCCAAATTTCCTAAATCCACCCCTGGGCCTTAGGTCTGTCGGCGACTGACGATGCTCTGACTCTAGAGAGTTAATGAAGCATCTCTAGCACAGTGGAAGGACAATAATCTCTTCATGAATATGAACAAAACAAAATACATGTTTGAAGATTTCATGAGAAACAAACATCAAACATTATTACATCGTGGAAGAAGTGGCAGAGTATATCTACCTCTGTGTTTATCTGGATTGGACTTGAGGTGCAACAGTGAAGCCATTTGCAAGAGGGGGCAGAGCAGACTTTGGTCCTTCAGTGTTTGCAGCAAGATGTTGCATATGTCCTTTAACTCTGATTTTTAGAGTGTTGTCTCTTCTGCTGGGGTAACAGCATCTGAGCAAATGACTTAAAGAAACCCAGCAAGCTGATAAAGAAGCCGCGCTCTGTTCTCGGGAGCACCGTCTAAAGAAGAGTGCACTAAAGAGATGCCTTATACAAAAAACAGCATAGCCAGTCCTGACCCATCCCTAGTGTGAAATATGATGGTAGCAGCTTCATATTTAGGAATGGCTTTCTTCAGGTCAGATTCAGATAAAGTATTAATAGGAAACCTGTTAGAGGCTGTGAATAGCTTGGGAAAGTTTGCCCTCCAGAGACCCAGTCAGGGCCACGTTTGTCATGTCTTGGAATGGTCTCGAAAATTCATGCAGTTGTAATTTGAATTGCAAGGTTTTACCAAGTATTACTCAGTGGAACTGAACCCTCTTAAACTGTAATTGAATGTATTTAATGTTATCAGAATTAGGGTTTTATAAAAGTGAAAGCCATTTTTCTGAGTTTATATTTGTAACAAATAAGAAAAATCTTCTCCATTTCCTTCCTCTTGTGTCTCATTTTGTGTTGGTCCATCAATATAATCTCAGTAACAAAATTTGCTGTGTGATTAAAAAACAAACACCCAGCTACCCCTGTTCCTATAGCATTAACACACTCATAACTTTGAGGCCCCTTCTACAGGAGACGGAGCTGCGCAGTCGGGTGCTGGAGGAGCAGCTAGCGGGAGCAGAGCAGCGACTGGAGGAGAACCAGGAAGAGCAGGAAAATTTCAGAAAGAGCCTGCGGACGCTGCTGGAACTTCTCGACGGCAAGATCTTTGAGCTGACAGAGCTCAGAGACACCTTGGCTCGTCTCATAGAGGAAGCCAGCTAGAGACAGAAGGTCTCACCCTCCGCAGAGAGAGCCATATGATGATTTATTTACAGCCCCAGCACACAGACCAATCCCACCTTCAAATACTTTTTCTTCTTGTGTACCCCTCACCTACATAAATCTGAGACACTGCACTGCCCCCACTTACAGTTTAAACACAAGGGGCAGTGGGTCCCTAATTTTTACCTTGAGGGCATCAGGTTTCTACCTACTGCAAGCACTCCTGTAGTTGAACACGATGCAGGGACTACCTCAGCTTGCCTTCTGATTGGCTGTTGTACCCTTGATCAAACTGGTCAAGCTTATTTGTAGAGATGCCACACATTAAAACAAACACAAAAAAAACTGTGCCTCAGCGCCATCTGCTGTCTGAATGGGAGAGCTGCACCATAGTGTGCAGCATTTACTCAACACACACATTGCACATTATTCCTCTCTAAACCGCCCATCCAGTGGCAAATGTTAAAAGTCATGTGGAAATAATTGCCGTTAAGACCTAAAGAACTGCGCCAAAGCTGCCAATTCCCCCCAAAATATTGTCCTCTAACAAGCAGATGCTTTGATCCAAAGTGACTTACTGTACAGAGAAGTTTTGAACAGAAGAACCCGCGTTTGAGCCCGGGCTGCCAGAGGAATGTAACTGGGTAACTGCTTTGGCATTGCTGCACATCCCCAGCCTGAATTCTCAAGGATGCTGGGAAGTGGAGTCTGATATCTATATATTTTCTTTTAGTAGAAATGAAAGTGTGTCCCCTACGATATTACAGAATCCTATGACGGAAAAGCAATGAATCTTCCAGAAGGCAATTTTCATGCAACACTAAATTGTTTTGGTACTACATCTTAAATGAGACACGTGTATCCACACAGCTTCCATCATCGCAGTAAACCTGACCTGTCTTCCTGCCATACTCAGTGTGGCGTGTGTGTCCTGAATGAGGCTTGACATGATGTGTGTTATCATTAAGGTGCATCTCAATAAATTATAATATCAGAGATATTAGTTTTTTTTCAGGATTACAACTACTAAAAAAAGACAAAATTCTTATTAATAACATTAATTACAGATTTAAATCTTTCCTCATGTCATTTTTGATGGCTTACAGAAAACACAACCCCCAAAAAATATTGGACTTAAGAAAATTTGAATACAACATAATACTAAGAAAATAATGAAGACAGAAATGTTGTGATTAAACACCCTGTAGCTTTCATATCCTGTCTCCCTTGTTTTGGTTTGAATTTAAAATACACCATCGACTCTCAGTTGGGTTTGCTGGCTAAATAAACTTAGTGATATTTTGGTTATTAAGCAGGACTATAAAACCTGCATTATACGTCAAAATGTATTTTAAAACACAACCCCTTTGTATGAAAGTTTGACACATATTTAATTTCCTTAATGCTTACTTCCTGCAGAAGGCTATCTGTATCTTTAATGATCAAGATGCTTGAGCACAGGGCATGGATAGGAAATTTTATAACATAGAAAAATAAGATGTGAAGAACATTTAGGGTAAAACAAAACTAATAAAGTCTTTGCAATAATTATATTACAACTGAATCTATCATAGGGACATATTTCCAAAAGGAAAGCAAAAATATTTCATCCTAAAGATCGGCTTTGGACCACTGAGTAACAGTCCTGGCACTTTTATTTTGATAGCTCATTTAATATGCTTCTGATTTGGTCTCTGGTTTAGAAGTTGTTTAAAGCGTGGAGTGAGAGATTTAGCATATGTAGATATATCTGCTTGCCCTGACTTCAGTGGCAATCTATACTTTATAAATCTCTGTACTGCTGAAAAGCTGCTTCTAATCCCAGTTTATCTAAGGTTGTGCTTATCTTAGTTTCTAATATTGTGTTGTTTTTGCAGGTTGAATTTTCTTAGCACGTCCTGATATGTATCTAATATGGCCTCCAAGCTGAAGATTTAAGGGAAAGTTTCCGCTTCCAGGTTTAACTTTAGTTCAGAATCCAACATGGCTACTAACTGATAGCAAATACAGTAGGTGAGATCTTCTCACCTATAGTGTCAAGCTTCAATTTGTAATACAATATGTGTTTTTTTGTGTGTTTTTTTTATGTTTTCATTGCACTTAATTTTTCTTCAATGTATTTGGATTCAGTGCTTTAAATAGACAGCTTCCTTAGAAAAAAAAAATCTTTGGTGGCTTACACCTGCTGACACCTGGCTCTGTGACACCTAGTTTTCTTATGATGCGGTAGGTTTAATCATATTTCTGCATTTAATTTTTTTTATTTACATGTTTAAAAAAAGCACAAAAAATGTAATTAACAGCAAACCATCATCATCAAAATTTAAAAAAAAAAATGCTAGAAATGAGTCCATCTGTGTAACAAATCTGAGTTTCAATATGTGATCAATCAAATTAAGTTATGATTTTATGATATTTTAATTTATTGAGATGAATATGAACTTGGGCACATTTATGCTGGTAGAGAGGCCTACACACACCCTTACATACACACACACACACACACACACACACGCACACACACACACTGAGCAATATAAGACAGGCTCTGTACAATCCCCCTGTCCATCTCTATCAGGTTCTCTACTCAGCGGACTCGTTGTCCTGAAGGATCAGATACATTTCAGCTGATACCCCGTTTCCAACAGAACGTGTACTAGTGACCGCATTACTGTGTGGCAGCCCTATGTGGTCCGAGTAGTGCAAACTGAAGGGCTTACAGAGCGTCATCCTCATGTCTGTAAATCTCCACCCTCAGTGAAACTGGCCACTGATTGTCACTCCTCACAGGTCAATATTCAGCCATTCTCAGTTTCTTTTCTTTCATTTTTTTTAAGTGAAGATACAATACTACTAAGATGAATATAAAACTGTACAACACAACTTTCTTATTCTTGCTGGCATTGTAAATGAATGGATGGACAAATCAAAATGCAGTAACACCCTGCAGTGACTTATTGTTGTGTATTAACTGATGGGTGGAAGCTTTTTGCTGCACATTGGAGGATTTATAACACCATGTAATAATGCAGTGATACAAGTTTTATACTCTTACTGTATAAAAGCCAATGTAATGCCGGCAAAAACTTTAATTTTCTTCCTTCAAATTTCTACAGAGCTGTATCTTCACAAGGTGCTGCTGGTCTTATAACTGAGTGCCCTGTTTGCACTGTTATTACACTGCTGTAAATCCCATTATATGCCAACAGATTTGCATCTAGCATTAGCACAGTCAAATGATGTAGTTTAATGACCCTATGTAGTTAGTTACACAGGTTAATACACTGGAATAAGACTCATGTAAAAGAGGGAATGTTACTTATTTTCTGTCTGTTGTGTGTGTCGAGTGGAGTGACAGAGATGAAATACTTTACTATCAATGCTATTGTTAATGAATGCCTTTGTACAGTAGTGGATAAAATGCTTTTCATTGTCCTGTTTTTTGTAACTTATGGTATTTCAGTGTAGGTATCAACATTGTATTTAGAGGTAAGAGAAGACTGGCAATATTTTTGACTATTTAAAGTAATTTTGAATTCCTGACATTAAAGAGGTTCCTCAGGCTTAAAAAGATTTCTTAGATTGGTGATATTTGGGTGTTTGCAGGTAAAACAGATCGAAAGGCACAAATGTTGAATGAAAGCTGTTATGCGGTTGGTGTGGAGATAAATTAAAGGACTATTTTATTGTTTAAGAGGAATCTGGACTTATCAATCAAAATTAAAATTGCTTTAAGTAATTAAACCCTAATTTTATCATTGTTAACTGGATATATACTATTTAATACACCGTTTGAGATTATTTTACCCTTTATTCTGTTAGTAAAAATTAATCATGACCATCCTATAGTAAGAAAATCTTATAAAACATCAACATGTAGACAGGTCAAACATTGTTCATAACTTTAAAATATAGTCTTGATTTCTAAGAACCTTCTTTTTTTTAAATCTAAAATATGGGGATTCTTTCTTTTTGTTTAAGGGGAACCTATCCTTATAAAAACTATAAGGATAGGTTCAATCCCAGACCACAGCATGCAGCATTTATGAAAGCTTTGAGCTTTTAATGACTTTGAAACACATCTTTATCACCAGGCCTTTAATTTTACCATTTGTTACCTTAAAATAAACTTTAATGAGTTTTAGACATTTTTAAAAAGATTTTATAAGTTAGACAAAGACAATAAAGCACGACATTGTGAATAATAGGGAAAAGGATATGTGTGTACTTTTGGGTTCAATTCCCCTGACTCAATTCTTTGTAGATTTCAATACATTTCAGCTATTCTATATAACACAAATAAACAACTCATCAAGGCACTTTAAAGAGACAATCAAATCAATTCATTCAGACAGATTGGTTCACTGTTCTCGCTCTAAGGGAACCCAGCCGATGGCATCAAGTCGCTGACTTTGTACTTTTCCCTGTAGCAACAGAAGACATTCCCTTGCATTGTCTTTGACTACAGCAATCCCTCACAACAAGTATGCATGCATCGACTGTGGAGAGGAAAAACTCCCTTTTAGGAGTAGGAAACTTCCAGAAAAAACAGACTCAGTGTGAATGGCCTTCAAGAAGACAAAAGTAGACACACAAACAATGTAGAAATAATGGATATAATCAGTTACAGAAGGTAAGGGTAAGCTAGCTCTAGAAACGAAACTGTTAATCAAATGAGCACCGAGGCAGTTTTAAAAGTCAAAAGGATGAAGAGAGTACATGCCAGTAATCACGGTAAAAACTGAGCGCCTATGTCTATCAGAGAAACAAGACTAAGCACTAAAAACATGCCCAACTAAAGCTCTGGTGAATTTCAATGGTGATGTCCTCTGAAAATCTTCAATAATTGGTCTTCCTCCCAGATGGTATCACATTTAAACAGAGCACCATACCAGATGAGGGTACTCTAAAATGGAGAGAACATTGGGCTATAAATTCAACTAACAAATAATGCAAAATTTGAGAACAGCATCGTAGAATATACCAAAATAAGGATAAGTAGTTCCTATGTCCTCCAGCAGTCTAAGCCTATAGCAGCATGAATATTGAAATAGATATAGCTCAGGATAACCTGAGCCACTTTAACGTTAGCTTTATCTAAAACAAAAGTTTTAAGCCTAGCCTTAAAAGAAGACAGTTTGTCTGCCCACAGACTAAAACTGCTAGTTGGGCCCACAGGGCAGGATCCCGATAGCAAAAAAATCTGCCTCCTATTCAGCTTTCTAATAATTCTAGGAACCACTAGTAAGACTGAAGACTGAGATTAAAGTGCTCTGTTGGAAACATAAATCAGATCTCTGATCACTGCAAAAAGAAAATCCTGCTCCAACTTAAACATATTGCTTCAACTGGTAAAAAGTAATTGAATGAAGTTGATCCAACTTAATATATTAAGGTTATAAACTGAAAACTTAATCCAACTAGAAAAAGCTGTTTCGGAGAAACATCAAAGTGGGAATGCTTTTGCTGAATGAAAAAAGCTTAAATTAACTGCAGAACATATAAAAATGTGATAGGAAGTAATCAGAAACTTCAAACTGCAGAAAACATTGAATCATCTGAAGATTTTGTAGGGTAGAATCATTTGGCAGTAAAATGGCAGAAACAAACTCATCTTAAAAGCTGCACAGCCAAACCATACATGATATCAAAAAATGTTGATCAGCATAAAGAAAACAGTGTCATCATTTGAGGATTGAAAATTTACAAACCTATGTGCAAGACTAACCATGAGAAGCAGAGGAAGGACAGGGAGAGAAGCTTATAGAAAGAGAGCTAATACCACTTAAGGAGCTGAATTTATAAAAAAAAACTAACCTGCATGATACGAGCCGCTGTGGTGATGAAAGCACCGTTGGCAGGCTTAGGCTGCATGTTACTAGGTTAGCAGATGCTTTATTACAGTTTAAATCTTAGAGCCTTATTAAGAAATGTAAACTGAGGTGTGTGGTCAACAGGCCTTGGTAGTGTAATTTGAAGAACTTGGTTGACTTTGGGTCATAGCTACAAGCCATACTGCACAATGAATGAGTGTGCGTAAGGAAGAGGCTTTTATTTTGTAGGGTCCCTTTAGTCTTATTTTGAAAGTCTATCAT